TTTTGGTAATTCCATTGCAAATGAATGCCTAGAGAATATAAACTGACTAAAGTGACAGAATCTATCAGATCGCGTTGTTCCGCGCAGCGGTAACTTTGAGATTAGTTATTTTCATTTAATAGCATTCGACTAAGTTGAACAAACGGTTATTTTTTTTAATTAACATTCGTAAAAGCTATCTATTTCACGGTGTGCAATGTTAATCAGCTATTCAAAATATACGTATACGTTTTAAAACGATAATGCTTTCTCGGTAAATAATCGTACTTTTCACACATCACGATGTTACACAAGATACACCAAAAGTTATTAATAACTCTTCCTAACTAATTTGAACATTGAGATGCGCGTGTACAGACACAAGCATTATTATTTGATGCACCCGCGCTAAATATCCTGAGCAAGATTAATGACATTTTAAACTCGGTCGCGGATAACAGAATATGGTATTAAAAATAAAATAAAGCGTTTAAAGGTATTTATAACTATTGTTCTCTCTTATTAGACGGGTCATTATGGTAATGAGAAAGCGATTGTGGTTGCAACGTCGTTGTATATATTTCTTGATTTTTTAACCTACTCCAGAAAGCGTATGTATTATTTATATGTACTATATATATATATATATATACTCTTCCTCTGTTTCTCTCTCCCACATCGATGGCATTGGACGCACATTAAGGAGATGGTCATCTGAACAGTAAATAAATCAAACCCGCGGTGAATGGGGCAGCCAGCAGCATCAGCGACTGCGGCGAACAAACATTAGTGGTCAGAAGGGGTGACGGGGGCAGAGTGGTAAAAAACCCACACAAGTCGACCATGTAACAACTTGTAAAAAACACACCAGCAGTTCATTTTGTCAGACTCGGAATTCTAATTGTCGTCGGATACACAGACAGCATAAGTTTTTAAACGCGCTATTAAATACGCATTCCGTAGGGCTCTCTCGGGGGAGAGACCAGTTTACTGGTTACCGTACACTGACAACATGACATTTAAACAGCCATAAAACACTTTTTATTAATTCCCCAACAGATCCGTCACGAAAGATCGTTGTTGTACCTTGTTGTTTTTTCTTCCCTTTCCGCCCCCTCCACACCGACTCCGTATAATGTCAACTGGATTTTCTGTATTAGCCGTACATAAGCTCGTGTCAACACTATCAATTGTATTATTTATATATAAACAACCGCGGTGCCCGTACAGACGCCGTGAGTCGTGGTAATTACTGATTCTTTTATAGTACTCCGAGACCGCGTGGTAATTAAAAGAAAATAAATCCGTAGCCGGCAACTCGGGTGGGAATTTTAATTACACGTTTCTATAAAACATCATCTCGCGTTACCTTTTTAAGTATAACGAGTCTCCAGTGTACAGACACTCGGTCTCTGGCGAAAAACGATTAAGGAAATCAAGTATATTGTATACATAATGTTCAACTTATGTTATTAGTGTAATTTTTGCACGTACAAACATTTATTGTCTGTTCAATCGGGTAACTTCAAACCGGCTGATCGATGAATAATTAGAATTATTAAAAAATAATAATGTTGATTTTAATAGCTGGTCATTATCGATGATTTTATTTCAAATAACTTTGAATAATTACGGTTAACTTTACATACGACTTTATGTATGAATGTTTTTTTTTTATAATGCTCTTTATGTTGGTTCTTAATGTAATTATAGAATCAAATAAAAAATTTGTAAGGTAAACACATCAAAGTGCATTATATCAAACAGCTAAAAATAAATATTTCAAATTCAAAAAAAAATTATCTTAATCTCATATACACGAGCGGTTGAACACTTTTGGAAATTATTTTTTTTATGCTTTGGTTTATTGTATAAAATTAATATAAAATAAGTCACCTTATGAATACTCCAAAATTTATATTAATTTTAGTTACTCTATTTATTTTAGGCTATCGTATGAAATTTTATTCTGATTGTATATTTGAAAAATTCTCCGCCCCCAAAAATAAGTTTCAATTACGTTTATTTAACGCACATATATTAAGAAAATTGATGACATGTTACAGATAATAATGTTTGACAGTTATTCTATACTACGTGCTTATCTAAAAAAACGAGCATCATTGTTCACGTTTTTTTTAATTTTATACTATTCATAGCGAACGTCTCTCGTTTACTACTCTAAAAACAATTTAGACAAGCTACCGCTCGTTAATGCTTTTTATAAATTAGTTAAACTAATTTTATCTTCTGTTTTGAAAAATTGAATACAATGTACGCACAATTTAAAAGTAGTTTTAAAAATAGTTTTGGACCATAGTTAAGCATTAATTTATGCCTAAAAAAATGTTCAATGTATTTTTTACCTTCGCAAATATACTTTTACATGCTTACCAGTTTTTTGGTTGTATACAAATTACACTCGAGTTCACATACGCACAGATATTTATATAAAAATATCACCTTTTGCATCACTGAACTGAATAGACGTTTGGTAAGTTTAATACTCATTCTTAGCGCTACGTCTACCAACGACGATGTTAACTTGTTCTTATGTATCTCCAATTTCATGTATGTTTTTTAGATCCCGGGCTTATGTTAATCCCTACATCAAAATTTCATTAACGGATTTCTTCACCACACTACAACCCAATTTGACACGTCCTCGTATCACAATTTATTAGTATTATTAGGTGCGCCTGTCTGCCTCGTCCGTCTTCAAATATCTAGTTGAGTTTGTCAGGGAAAAAACTACCCCCGTGACACACGCAACATGTAAATATGATAAAGTAGACTTTGAAACGTCTCACGATTACAGACTCAGTGTCCAATATAAACAAATATAAATCTGAATGGACCGAGAAAACCCCTTTATTGTTACACGCATTCTTATTGAATGGATAAATCAAAACGTCATATTATTTTGGATTCATCGAAGGTGTTGGCTTTTTCGTGTTATACTGATGAGTTTCTTTGAATTCTCGATGAGCATTTGTGAATTCGTGACGATAACATAACACCGTTGGATTTGGTGAAGCGCCCGGCGCCAGCGGATCTGTGTGTCGGCTCTTTTTTCTACTCCTCGCGTTCATTTTCACACCTTTTTATCGTGTCTACTGTGAAAATCAGTCCAAAGTCACGTACCAATAACAATGCTCACATGCAATTTGGTGGCGACAGCGGTCAAGAGAAACGGTTCATTACACATAATGTGCAAGTAAATTAGGGTTTTGACACGTTGAGATTAATGCGCACATTACTTGTCGTCGACTGGGATTAAAATAACATGGCACCTATCCAAGTTGTTCTTTTATGATGGCAATCATTTGAGATTGATATGATACGTTTATGCCATAATTGTTTAATAACACGGTTTAAGTACATGCCTTGGAGCTTTCAGGAAGCCAAACTGTCCATGACCAAGTAAAACTATTCATCTGTATGGGTCTACAGACCAGACTAGCTCAAAAAAAAAAAAAAAAAATACATTTAATTTACGAACAAACAACTGTAACTAACTTGTGTTTACACAAACGCGCGTGTAAAGTCATTTAAAACGTTACCAGTACGTTGTGCATGTGATAACAATGCCGAGGGGGCAAAACGTGCTCAGACTGCTAGCAATAAAAAAAAGGAAAAAATGAGAGCTCGCTGACCTGTACAGGTCAAAGGCTATTCATTCAAGTACGTTTACTAAACTTCTCATTACAATTAATTGTATTGCTTGTACTTTTTTCTCACACGAGATGGAGTGTAAGTAATTATAATTGTTATCTATAAGCGTTAGTCTGGAGAAGATATTGTCATCTCTGACTGTCTACGTCAGAATGTTAATATTTACGGGTCAGATGAATTGAATCGGTACGGTAGACCACAATACATTCTAAAATGGTGTTAGATCACTGCGAATGTTTTAGAATATTACTCACGATTACATTATTAAAACAACAAGTTAAAATTAAAACGTTTTCTATAATTAGTCATCGTTATTGAACTAATTTGTGAATTTTTTATAATTTGCTCAATGTTCATTATGAAATTTTTAAATTTTTATTACTAACTTATTGTCCTGTTTAACTGCTCTGTCAGCGACGTTTACGCTATAGACGATTTAATTATATGTATTTTATACTTCGATAGATATATTATCAAAATAAATTATCTCTTCTTTAATTCAGTAATTGCGCTGACGTTCGTCGACAGATTCACCGTTGTACGCCCCAATCATTAAATCGTGGTAATTAAATTAAACAATGAATCTATCGAGTTATGTACTTTATAATCGAACACAAATGAGTGGTTGAATATGAGACGGCGACATTATGGGAATTTAAGAATATTTAAGTAGGTATACTTTGAAGTCGGTGAATTATTTTAAATAGAAAATAACCGGATTTAATTAGCGACCATATTTCAAGAAACGAGTAATTTATTTTTAAAAGTTTACTCTGCGTGCGAGAAAATTCGATAATTTTTTACTTTATATTAGACAGGTAATTTGTGGATTTTTATTTACACCCGTTAAAACCAATAACCTGTTTGGGCACGTTGAATTACGCATGCTATTTATTAATTATGATAATTTTACCATAAAGTGGTAAATTAGTGTATACGGGTTTCTTTGGACCACTCGAGTGTTTTTTTAATCTTTCATTAATCAACGGTCGTTTTCGTTTGGCGATTTCCTACGTGAAATAGTTCTTCAACGTTATTCGAACAAAATCATACAGACCGGAGTCATGTTAATGCCGCACTCTTATTATCATCCGTTGTTGATGTACAATTGTGTGATATGCCTATATCTTATATCCGGTTGTAATTGAACACATGACTAGATACTATGCTGACATACTTGATACGTCGAAACAAGTGAACGTTTTACATTGGCTGAACACAAGATGTTGGCCGATAACTGTTGCGATTACCTGACTAATTAATACGCGTCTGGTATGCGACCACTACATGTCATAGGTATACCGAATAGGGTAAAAAGCATCAGGTATGTTGTACAAGCTGTTGTCTGTACCGATCGGGTGTATCGATGAAACCCGAGACGGTGTTCGGAGGCCGACCGGGTAGCGTTCGACGGTCGCGTACACGGGGAGGACGCGTACAACGGCGGACACCCACTCGGCTGGTAATCTCTCATAATGGTATAATATTATTCGATTATAATCCCCAGGGGATCGTGTAAACGATAGCAACACGGTATTCGATGTTTTTCACCCTGTAGAGGTATTTTGAAAATTGATTTTGACAGCACCACGCGCGCCGCATCCGCTGTGTGCACACCGTTTTACAGCTCAAACATATTGCTGTACGTTACTGTTTATATTGCACAACGATTTGTTTCTTTTTTTTACCTTTCGACTTGTGGTGGTACTCGCGATTGAAGGTACGCGTAGTTCCCATAGTCTTTGATGTGCGCGTACAAAGAATGTTGATTTTTTTTCACTCGTAAAAAGGTTCGTGTAACTGTTTAGCTATGAATACACGACGATCGCCCAAAAAAATAAATACAATACCAAAAAAAAGTAAAAACGAGTTCCGAGTGAAATTGATAGTGATTCGGTCAATTCATTCGACACAAAGAGACGATTTAAACGACGTTGTATATTTTGTTCTGTCCGAGTCAAAAAATGTTATTAGCCCGCTTATTAGTGACTATAGTGAACGGTATAGTTTATCTGTATAAGTCGTAAAATAATATTTCATGTCAAATAAAATTTTTAATCTCGTGATCAGTAAGATTTGGTAATTTCAGTAACAAAAATGACTCTACTTTTTATTTGTACACATTTTCAATACATTGCAATTTATAAAACAGAAACTAATACAACTAACGTAAGTATAATTTTTCTATCTTTTTTTTCTCCAGTTATCTTGTAAAAATTAAGCAAAGACGATTGTTGCAACTGATAGCGTTTATGTTTCTCGCTAAAACCAACCTTTTCCTTTGATAAAACTAATTTATGGTTGCGATACCGCTATAAAGTCAGTATAACTGAAAAGTATTAAATTATGTTCTATAGGTTATCTTTAAACAAATCGATGTTATGCAACCCGAAGGTAAATTACATGAACGTAATGTAATACTGGCGAACGCGTGTTATCTTCCCTACTGTAAGCGCATAAAAAATATTTCTTTGTTCGTAATATATGAATCATTTTGCGCGAAAACAATAATTCGACAAGAAAACGAAACCTCCCTAGAAGTGTTTGTGTGTGAAACAGCCGCCGCATCACCTGTCTGTTGTGTAAGAAAAGTCAAAAGGCTAACAAGCCACCAACAAGGCGGTACGCGGGTGGTACAAGGCCCCCAGTGTTCATTGTGAGACGTACCGCGCGCATGTGTTTGTTGGTGTGTTGCGCGCGCGCGCCCGTATAGAATGCCCATTATATCAAATTGCTTGTCAAAATAAACCGCGCGAGGCGCCTGCAGTCCACAAAAGGACACCAACGACCAGCGGTGCCCTTCCCTCCGATATGACCGCGCGCGCGGTTATGGTGTTTTCAGTAACCATCTTACGGCCCGGACTCCGACTGCAGAGGATCCCACGGCAGCAGCTCGTTATGTTTCCACGAGGTACAGATTATAATCTTCGTCCGCCCGCTCACCCGACGGCAGCGTGCGTTCTTTATAGTCGTTATTATTATTATTATTATTATTACATTTTATATTTTAAGACAATGCTTTTCGGAATGCAGGCCCTGACACAAAATGGCCGCCACCTATTTGGATATATATAGTTTGGTGGCGGGGGCGATCGAAAGAGTCGGGTACAGAGGAAAATACCAACGTGCACCGGCACATTCATAAAGTCGGCGGCGAATTCGATTTTCTCCCTCCACCGCACCGGCACGATGTTCTTTTTCTATTCTTCGCATCGGCCCATCTCCATGTCGGTCGTGTGTGTGTGTGTGTGTGTGTATAAATAGGATTTGGTGTGCGCCTTACAGCGAGGCGGCCGCAGCATTCTTGGTTTTCTCGGCTGCTTTTGACCTCGCCGCCACATGTGTACCAAAGATATACGTTTCGCCCGCGGTGAGTCCCGAGCCCCGCCCAACGATGCCACCTCGGCACCCCGTGCTGTGCTGGGTGTCTCATCTTTTGTTTCCCGTCTGTTGTATCCATGATGCTGTCCGCGCCGCCACCACTGGCCGAACACATCATTGCGAAATGCCGTCAGCGATAAAATCACACTCCGGACAGGCTACCGGATGAACAATATATTATAAAACTTACAATGCGAAAATACTGCTGACTAATCAATGTGATTATTTAAAACCGTACGAGTTCACAATCTCCTTAAAGGCATAGTTACACACAATTGGACTTCCGTTGCATTTTTTCAGAAATCTAATCAAAAACGGTTCATTTCAATATCTTTTGTTTTATAAAACGTCCTAGTAAACGTCGAGCATTTAATTGTAATACTGACAGCACGACAACCAGTAATAATTCACGTTGAATCAATATGATCGTCGGTGAACTATCAAAGTATAACCGTGTGTATATCCGACCGTTTGGAAACGGTGTATATATCGTGGTTTTCAATTGCAGATGAAATATTTTGTCTAAAACCACAACTATTCTCAGTATATTTGAATTATAACTTTGTACTTTGCTATAATACTTGTTGGGTTTTTAACAGGCATAACTTAAAACATGCCGGAGTAACAATGATTTAGCTCGACTAGTATTTTATTTAACGACGTCCAAAAAGAAATAACTAGTTTTGGGCAATTATTGGATAAATAAACTATGAACATTATGTAGTAGGTATCATAAACATGCAGTGAAATTGGTTTGTTCGCATTGTTGTTTCCCATAAGAACGTGATGTGCACACGGCGGCTACAAATACCGTGTGCACGATAGTTGTCAATATTTATTCACTTTGTTCTCTCTCCGTCCAATAAACACTGCCATGTCTGCCGCTCGTGCGCGTATGCACTTAATTTGTACACATTTCCAAGGAAATTTATGATTTACAGTTGTTATTTACAATTAACGAATGTCGTATTTATTCTTACAGAGGTGTAAGGAGAAGTTAAACACGTTGGCGATAAGCGTAATGAATCAGTGGAGGAACGTCCACCTGCGAGTGATCGACGGTTGGGGAGACCGGTTCGGCGTGAGCTTGCACAGCGAGGGCCGGGCAGTGGACATCACAACGTCTGACAGGGATAAGTCCAAGTACGGCATGTTGGCTCGGCTCGCCGTCCAGTCCGGGTTCGATTGGGTCAACTACAGACGAGGATACATACACTGCTCCTGCAAATCGGGTAAGTCGACCAACAACATGGTCAACTGCATAAATTATGACGCGTATCGTTAGCCGCGACCGTTGCGCACGACAATAGCCCACACATCAACATAATTTTCCAATTTGTATTCGCTGCAGGCCATAAACAAGAATTTGTACGCGCACTTGCGTTGCCCCGTTCATCGGGTACGCACTAATGGAACGGGCAAACTATAAAATAGTCTATAAAAATATCAAATTATAAAAAGAACTAGTTCTCCCGCACGAAAAAATAGCGTCCACTTGTATTCGGTCACCCATCAAAGGCTTCGGAGTAAAGTTACCGTTTTATGAGAGACATAAAATCAACATATTTACTTGTATATTTAACACCCTAGTTTATGGACGTACGTCGTTATGTATGACATTAACACTTTAGAGACCCCTAACCATAGATTCGGCGGGCGAGTGAGATTTAAATGAGCTTTTGCTCCTAAAACTCTTCGACATCCCGCGGTTTCGGTTTGAACGCCAAAATAGAACTCGTCAAAAAAATAACTCGCCAACAGTTTTTTCCGGTAGGTGATCTCATAAAAAAGTTTTCGTCTACGTTGAAAAGTACACGCCATCAGGAATATTTCCTAAACTGTTAGTCCCGCGCGTATGTTATCGAAACCGTTAAGATTTATCTACTGTAGTATTTATCAATTAGTAATTTTACCATTTGAAATCATGCAAGACGTTTTAAAATAGCTCAGGAACTTTTATCAGTTGTTATTATGTACTTTAACGGCTATTGTCGTCTGTCAACGCGTTCTACCCAACTTGTGGTGGTCATTGAGTTTTTTGTTCATTGATTGTACACTTTGTCGCAACTACCAAGTGTTTTCGAGTGTGTCGGCATTTGGTAATTCTCGAATCATGTGCGTGTTGTGTGAGAAAACACTCGGCCGCACCATAAACAATATAGGTACGTCCCGTGGTCATCGTATGTACACAAACATTGTTCTGTATTATTGACTATCTAGTTGCTGTGTCGTGGGCATGCCACCGAACCGTGTGAACGGCCGGTGCTTATAAAATCCGTGCAAACAAACCGCGTCCGAAGCAAAGGGACTTGGTGGTCGGCCGCGACGGACAAAACAAACGTAAGAAGACAAAACCCCCGTTGTTGACTTGGAACAAACAGAATATATTAAGATTACTATTATTATTACAGTGCCTAACCGGCGCGTTAAAATATTCGGAAACGGTTTTCGACCGGCGCGCCGTTTCCTCGGGTTATTATTGCTCTTTTTGAACACGTCTCAGCGTCCGACAAAAACACCGCTCGCTTGTAGTCTTCACGCCGTTAAACACATTGGGACGTGGTCGAGTCTCATTAATTATTGCCGTTCAACCGTGTTAACCGCTCCATCTGATCCATCATGACTGATCGGGACGGCGTTAAAAATCCGACGGCTAGTCCAAAGAGCATCCGCCGAGAAAACATAAACGTTTTTTATAATTTGTCAATTCGTGATTTATCGCGAGCAGTGACGACGCGTTCGGCGAACTCATCTCCATCGATTTTGTTGCGTGTGGTCGCTTATCGCCAACCTTCTTTTTTTTTTTTTTGTTAATTAATCACAATCATTCTTTTGTTGTTAACATTCGACCTACATAATTTACAATATTGATTGCGCCCCGACGCAGACTCTGCGGTTTCTGCGCGAAAAATGATATTCTATCGCGTCCACGGTTTAATAAAAAATATATCACAATTTCCACTATGCGCAACGATTGCATTGTACTTGTAGGTAATTGTACGAGAGCAATCGATACGTCTAGCACGGCAGATGCACAGTAGCCTTCGAAGCTACAGCCGTTTGCTAGTCGGAATACATAACCTCGTCGCCACATGTTTGTTCATAATTTACAAGTTAAGCTATTTATAGTTACTATTTTAAAACAAAACTATAAACGTCGACCGAATTTTCAATAGAGACAAAGCTGTTAAAAAATTTTAAAAGATTATTCATACTTGTTCGTCTAGTAGATTATTATAAGAAGTGTTTTGATACTGTCGAAAGAACATAATTGTCATGTTTGTGAAATGTCACGCGAATTATATTTCGACGCATTTGAATTCATTGTTGTTTTTGACGACTAATGCGAAATGATGTAAACTCGGGTCTATAGATCTGTAGACTACTCGCGATCCGCGTTTGATCAATCGGATCTGTACTATTATGTTATTGTCGTACAAATTGTGTTACGGTTATGGAAATCGATATGACGTGGAGATTTTCTCACACGTCTCCACGATTTCATCGTGTTTATAACGTGTAACCGGTCAGGTCTTTGGGTTTTGCATTTCGAAACGCACTCTGAGCATTCCGTTTTCGGGCACAGCTATGCGGATCGGTGTCCGTCTTTCGTGTGTCACGCCAAGATCCGATTACACACACGACCACAAGTCTCCTCCGTCTACACGGCAACACACGCACATTCGGAGAGAGAACAAACAACGGGAACAAGACCAAAAATATTTCCCCTTTTACACAGTAGAGAGCCGTACGCGCACCGAATGAGTACAAAAGTATAATGTGGTGTTTTATGTAAACAAGACTCGTGCGGTGAGTGTAAAGCAAACTCCGGCACAAACTTACAAGGGATGATGGTGCATAATTTGTATCTTTTATTTTGTCCAAACATCAAATAATAGTCGATCGTGACCCGTCCAAAATCGAAAACCCACAAGTCCGAACGGCATATGATTAACCTTTCCTCTCGTGTTTTTTACCCGTACGGTGCGCATACACCTAGACGCTCGTGTAATGAGATGCTTAAACGGCATGCAAGTCCATAGAAATAATACCCAATGAAGGCAACGACGTCGTGTAACACTCTGAATACAATACATGCACCTCTTGTTTGTCTGCACAATATTACTTTCAGTTGTTCCCTCCGTTTTGTTTCCTTACGTGTATTATAGATGTTAAATCGTGATACCTAATTGTTGTAATTTGCATTTGGAAGAGTATCAATGTTTTGATGGGCTTGGGTTTCTCGACGATTTGCTTCTGATGGCGCTATCGTTAGTTTTCTCTGGACGTGTGTAATCCATGAATAATAGAACGGGCCTATTACGTTGGATGTGTTCTTCCCCTAAAAACTGTTTTTGGTATTTACTTATCGACGAAACGGCGTAATAATAATTACACTCATAAAACACCCGACCGGTTCGAAGTGTCTCCTCATTTTGTTGCCGTCTCTCATTCGATCTATTGAAAGACGCGCACTTGAGTGTTTTGTTGCACATTGATTTCTAATCAACCATACGAATATTCACAGTCCTTTCTTCCGGTTTAAATACTATTTAAGAACGTTAATCGTTTGATAGCCAACACCAAAAACAAAACGGTCGGAGATAAAATCGAGATAAGTTTACTACAACCGTGATTTTTTTATTGCGTTCATAGACATTTGTTGTATACGATTAACCGTTCGATGAATCCGTGGAAAATTATTACTGAAATGGAGCCTTTTAAATATTAGGTTATCGTATTGATGTGTAAAGTGATATCAGAAAGAAATCGATCGGCCGTTTCATAGTAAATGTTTGTTCTCTTAACGAGATATGTTGTTCGGCTAATTTGATTTGTTTTACATTCTCTCGATGATCACAGTCAGCCTATAACGTATAAAAAATATCTGCCCGGATACCTCTAGACGATACGCACGACATGAGAAAATATGTGTAACATTTTGTTTTGACACTACCGCAGCTATAAAAAGTTAAAAACACGGACAATTATTAATACAAATTACGTGTATTATCGTTCGTGATAAACATTTAAGTGGCACGAATATATTGAGTAGTAGAATAATAAAACTCTCAGATTTAATAGGCAATAATAAACAGTAAAAAATACTGTCCTCTTGAACGGAAGGCTATCGGGTCACCGGTTAGTTTTTTTATTATATTATGCCAGTGAACTATCAATAAAGCACACCGCGTTGAACATATTATGCTTTAGTATCATGTGATTCCTCTGTTCTCGGTTAGAACCCGTGTAACTATAAGTAATCCGGTTTTTCAAAACCCGAATATTTCACCATCAAAGATTAAATCAGATAGGGAATCGGAAGGTGGGATAACTAACAACAGCGACATTTGTGTATAAACACAAGAATTATTACCTTTTTATCTCATTAACTAATTTATCGTGGTCGCACGACAGTGAGAATTAAAAAAAAAACAACAACAGTGAACGCGAGGGTTACATTCTGTTTTAATTATTTGTTCAATGGGTTTTTAAATTGTACAAATCGGTATTTACAATCTTTCCGACGCTGTGTGGGCTTTTCTTCATTTGTCGTTCATCCGTTTGCTAATAAATAATTAACTCTTTATTATTTTTTTTTTTTGTTACAGAAACCAAAATCAACACAAGGTCGATGGGTTGCTTTACCGGTGACAGTACGGTGACCACTTTGGCCGGCAAGAAGCCCATGAAAGACCTGAAGGTCGGAGAATCTGTTTTGGCGCTCACCAACGACGGCCAGTTGAGAATGAGCAAAGTGCTGTTGTTCCTGGACAGGAGTACGACAGCCAGAACGGACTTCGTGACGCTGGTGACGGACACTGGCAAGTCCATTACGGCTACGCCAACTCATTTGGTGCTCCGCTGGGAAAAGGCGGAACGATCACAGATTTGGAACGCAAACCCCGTGCTCGCCAAACGCATCCGTGTCAACGACACGTTACTGACCGTCGTTCACCACAGCAAAGGCTTGCAAGCCGAGCGCGTTGTGGAAGTTCGGCACATCGAGAGACAAGGACTGTACGCTCCGCTGACCGTTGACGGCACGGTGGTTGTCGACGACATAGTGGCGTCTTGTTACGCCGTGCTCGACAGTCAACGATTGGCTCACTGGGCTTTCTTGCCCGCCAGAATGGTGGCTGCTGCTCGGGCTTCCTTCAACGGATTCATTTGGCGTTTAGCTCATCCGCTAACCTCTGGCGCTCCGGATAATTTAGTAGACAATAATGATCCTCCCGAAGGCATTCATTGGTACCCCAGGATGCTGTACGCCATATCGGGATATGTCATACCGGCTAGTTGGATGGACTCGCATTGAATGAATAAACGATTATCAAGATTATATCGTGATTAACAAACAAATAATTTATTCAATGATTATGCACACTTGAGATTTTATCGGTACGAGTACTATGCATACTTTTTCTCCTTTAATGTTGGCATCATTGTGTTTAAAAATCCCAGCCACTATCCCAAATGTACATCTTATACCAAAAATATTTTAAAATTTTCATTGTAGTAAAGTGTCTTTTGAGTATGAATGAAACAATAAAACTTTTTACTAATATATATAAATTTTTTTTTATTAACATTTATGTTTACCAATTCTTTTTACTTACAATTCGTCTGTATATTTATTATTTTAATTATGTATTTACTCTCAATAATTTCTTCATCCAACATTAATCAATGTCATTTTGTAAGGATATTTTATTGGAAACTAATGTAATTATTTAAATGTTATGCTTATAATTTATAGAAGCATATATATATTAGTATCACAATGCATTTACGAACAATTTAACAAGATACAATATAGACACTATTTTACGATTGTTGAATGATAATTTTACTTCTTAGCATATTTTTCATTAACTTCCTTCCTACATAAATTGTGAAATGCAATATTTCTAAAAATATAATTATCATTTTCTAATAGTTTTAATGTTGTATTATTTTGTAAGATGTCACATATTAAATATATATTTATTACTATTTTGAAGATACATAAAATGCTATAATAATGTAAATTATATTTAAGTGTTGACAAACACTGTTGTTATTTATACATTGTATATATGTAAAATATGAAATGTATAATACTATGTGTACACCTATTTATTATCTTATATCTATGTATTTTAAAATTAAGCTCAAATATTATGTAAAAACATGTACTTGTATAGTAAAAAAATAAACGAAACCAAATCAAAATCTATTGTAATATCATAAATATTTTTTTTATTTAAAATTAAACAAATTTATCATAAAAATTGTATTTACGATTTTGCAGCCAGTTATTTGATAAAATATTCTAGTGGTAAATTTACAATTAAAACCCATTATAATATGTTGTCTGCAACTATCGATGTGGTGTATGATTTTATCTATACTCACATCATATGTACACATTTTGTGATAAAGATCCCATTAATAATATAGTAATATACATGTTAATTCAAAATTATAAAAAAATCTATTATTATTTTTATATCATTTTGAGATAGAATATTTTGTATAAAACATTTTTTAGTTTTAGGAGTTAATTCCTCAATTGGTATTAGATCAAAATACAAAATGTATATTCTTTTGTTTTTAATTAAATTTAAGTTGGATAATTTTAGAAAATCTTTCTCCTAGATCTGTAATGTTATACTCTAAATAGATTTCTCTATAATTAAGTGTTTATGAAAATAATAAAACGATAGCACAGTGGGGTCGTGGTACAGCATAGGACAAGTATTGATACCTGACAGCAATTAAAATCACTGTCATAAGTAACGCTTCGATGCAAATCTATAGCGTTTAATTCTAAAAAAAATGGTGCATAATTACAAATGCAACATCAACTCATATTTCCTTAATTATATCCTGATTAGTAGTTCTTAGATTTAAAAGTATAATTTATGGATAACCACTTTTATAGCAATTAAATATAGTATGAAATTAATATATAATACTTAATATTAAATTTTTTACGGAGAAATAATAAATAAATGATAAAGTAGTATATTTTGTTACTTCTTTGACAAACATAAAAATTAAAGAGCTTGATGCAATACTCCATAAAATTTTTTTTTTTATACTTGTGAATAAATACATTGGTCTACAAGGAACTTACCTTAGCATCAATAATATACTTTTCTAAATCAAACTTTCGTACTGTTTCAAACATGAAATTAGACTTTTTCTATCACTTCTATCTAATTATTAAAAAATAAGTATTTACATATAAATAAAAATAATTAAAAACAAAAAAAATTATTTTTAAATTACTTAAGTTTACAAATAAAAAAAAATTTTCAGATCCATGACTTATGATGGTAATTTTTTATGTAAAATCGTCCACTGAGTCCGAAAATGAAGTCCAAAATACAAAAAGTAGAACAGTTTTTGAGTTATTGCGAAATTAGCGAAATTTGTGTGCCGCGAAAAAGTGTTTTCATTATATTCTGAATATCTTTAATTGCATTTAATCGATTTTCATTTTTTTTACATAAAATTAAACAATATTAAATTACCTATAACTTTTATCTTAAACAATTTTTTATATGACTCTTTTCTCGTTTGCTATCTACGAATTTACCACTGAATTTTTATCATTTTTTTCAAAATGTCAGAAAAAATTCAGAGTTACGTAAAATACACCAATTAAAAATATATTTACCAACCATATATTCAATAGACATATACTCTAATACATAACAAAGAAAATGATATATTATTTTGTAATAATGATAAAAAAATGAATAAGTTATGTGCGATTGAAAAATAAAATAAATTTCCTAATATCAGAGTTTTTTATTAATTCGATGCTTTAATTTTGTAAAATATTGAAAAATTACTCATAATACTTTTAAAAATAAAATTTCGATTTTTTAAATAACTTAAGGTTATTTCATATAGTTTTATTGGGATATTTTTAAATTGAGTTAAATTTACAGTTTGGTGGAGTTGTGTTAAATTCTCGTATTTAAAAAAAAATTGAAGTTTCAATCCTCTGGTTAATAAAAATAGAATAATCCTACCCCTTTACATATTAACTTGGACTTTTTAAAAATTTTGTTAAAGCTTTAAATAAAAATGGAAATTCTTTTAGTTATTTGAAAACTGTGTTTCCACATTTGTCTGATGCAAAAATCAAAGAAAGTATTTTCATAGGACCACAAATAAAAAATCTAATGAAAGTTATCATCGCTTTCATTTCCAAGATTTCCAGGAAAAAAATTTAAATGTGCATGAAGAAAATGTATTTTCAATGACATGTTCACCTCTATTTCCGATTGAATTAAGAAATATACATGTATCTTTTATTCAGAAAATAATAAAATTATAAAATGTACTGTTTACCTATTGTTGAATAGTTTATCATATAAATCGTTTACTATTTCTCTATTATTTTTACTTTTGAAGTTTCCTAAAAAATAATTTACAACCAAACGAAACGAGTTCCATGCTAAAGCCTCGTCTTTTGATAAAGTTAACACAAAATTGGAGTCGTTCATTAGTTTTGTAAAATTAACTCAATTTAAAAATATCCCAATTAAACTACATGAAATAACCTTAAGTTATTTAAAAAATCGAAATTTTGTTTTGAAAAGTAATATTGTGAGTAATTTTTCAATATTTTACAAAATTAAAGCATCGAATTAATAAAAAACTCTGATATTAGGAAATTTATTTTAATTTTCAATCGCGCATAACTTCTTCATTTTTTTATCAATATTACAAAATAATATATCATTTTCTTTATCATGTATTAGAGTATAATGTCTATTGAATATATTGTTGATAAATTTATTTTTTATTAGTGTATTTTACGTAAAACTCTGAATTTTTTCTAACATTTTGAAAAAAAATGATAAAAATTCAGTGGTAAATTAATAGATAGCAAACGAGAAAAAAGTCATATAAAAAATTGTTTAAGATAAAAGTTATAGGTAATTTAATATTGTTTAATTTTATGTAAAAAAAAATGAAAATCAATTAAATGCAATTAAAGATATTTAGAATATAATGAAAACACTTTTTCGCGGCACACAAATTTCGCTAATTTCGCAATAACTCAAAAACTGTTCTACTTTTTGTATTTTGGACTTCATTTTCGGACTCAGTGGACGATTTTACATAAAAAATGACTATCATAAGTCATAGATCAATTTTGTTGTAAACTAGTGTTATTAATCATTTTTATTTTTAATATGTTAAAAATAATCAGTGTTTAATATCATTGTTAACCTATTTTTTTAGTTTTTTTTAAGTAGATTTTTTGAAAGTTTATAACAAAAAAAAAAATTGAATTTGTTACAATGACCTTTAGTTTGATTTGCAAGTTTAAAACTGACATTCATTAAATAGAAAATTTTATAAGAAATAAAAATATGGTATTTTTAAGATTAATATGCAGCCAGGAAATTTTATAATTACTATTTACATCATATTTATCAGAAAAACTCAATATTTTTTTTTGTATTTTCATTGTAATAGACCACTTAAATAGAAATGAGTGTAATTATTTCTAAGTAACTTTTATTGCTTAAAAATATTTTACAATTGAAATATTCAGAACTTAATTAATTTTTATCATTTACTTTAACTAAAAAAACCAATCAAAAAGTCTACTTAATAGAGCGTATTATAAAATTTGATTATAATTGTAAAAATTCATTGTTAAATTTATGTGAAACTAAAAATCATTTTTTTTTTAGAAATAATTGATAACGGAACTTGTTACCAAAAATTTTGGAATACTATAGACTTGTAGTACTCATACAAATGGAGTTAAAAAATTAATAAATTACAATGTAAAATTATTTACTTTTGTAGTTGAAATTTTTTCAATTTTTGAAAATAATGTCTTCGACATTACTCTTATTATATTGATACGATTTGTAATTTTTTGACGTATCGTTGAAAGAAATTGGTTTGATGAGAGCTGAGAAAAGTGGTAAAACACAAAACACACATCATAGTAAAATTAATACCTTATGAGCTTCGCATCAAAGCTAAATTACTAGTACTAATTGAATATTCATTAATAAAATACCATAATCTTAAAAAACCAAAAAAAAATTCAATCGAAAAAATAAAAGCAGTGTTTTTTTTTTGTATAGTTTGACAATTAAATTTATATTTATGTATTATTTATTTACACAATAAATGGAATACTCTGTTATATTGTTTAAAATAATTATACATAAAAATATAGAAAGTATAAAAATAAAAGCAAAATCTAAGAACAGCTATTTATAAAAAGTTTTAAATGTTTTTTATGTTTACTTCCGTTTATTACTTTTTCTACCTTTAGTAGTTGGTTGTGGTTTACAATATTTAGCTTCCATCCTAGATAAAAAGTCATCCATTTGTTCAGCACGTTCAGCTGATCTTTTTTGTATTGCTAATAATAAATCATTATCATCGTTTTTGTTACTTTTTTTTTCTTTTTCAAGTTCAACTTGCATTTTTTCAAATTCAGCCTCTTGTCTTTTAGCCTTAAAATATATAATTGAACCAATAATCAAATACTTCAGGAAATATTTAAAAATATTATTAACCCATTTAAAATTACAATAGACCAATAAACTATTTATCTAGTTCTTACACTAAAATTTTTATAGATTGCTTAATACAGTTAAAATTTGATAACGATCACCACCTCTATGCAACAGTAATATATTTTTATTATGTCAAGCGTTATAGAGAAAATATATTAATACCTGTAATGTATAATGTATAATATAATGGCACTCTAATTAAATATACATATGAAAATAACTTTGTTATAGTGTATGTGAGCACTCTATACAATAATTGTTTGATTATAACTCGCATAATAATTTTAAAATTATAAAATATATTATTGTTTTTTCTTCTCATAAATTAATAATATCTTACATTCTATAATTAAAAAAAAAAAATTCCTGAATTCTCCTTTGCTCTTAAAGTTGTATCAAATTTTGTTTTTAAATGGAAACTCATATATTTAATCTACTTTGAATAGCATAATGAACTATTTTAAAAAAATGTCTGATCAATAATAACTTTTGTACCGGTATTTTAAAAGATATTAGCATTTTAACAAATCACTAGATTGAAGTAAACTGTGTTTCACCACCAATCATTATATTTAAATGTTAATACCTTCTAAATACTAGTTTAAAAAATGCTATAGATTCTTAATTAGATCATTATATTATTTGTAAGCAGATTAAACATATGAGTTTCCATGGTAAAGGGAGGTAAAACTAATTTTTTTTAAAAAATCATAAAGAATAGGCTGTTATTAACTTTTGAAAAAATTTTTATTTATTTTTTTAAAGATAATATGAGTCAAAGTTAAATAATCAACCTATAAAACAGTTATTTAGTATAAATACCAATCTCTAACTGGCACATTTATAGGATAGCCACCTCTAAATGCAAGTCCTTTAAATGACCACTCCATAAATGTTCTAATTTTATTTATATATCTATTTAAAAAAAACTCTAGATGTTTTAGTTTGAAACAGAAAGTATTTTTTGAAAGAACAAGATTACAAAGTCTATTATTGACATACAAAAAATTTATCATCAAATCTAAAATATTTAAGTATTTTTAAGATTTTTTTTTCCAAAATGTGTAATGAATAATAAAATTATCAATTGCTTAAATAATTTTACTGTAATTAAGCTATAATTAAGATGTCTTTAACTGAGTTTTTTAGCAAAATAAAATTTATCTTTTTAAAATAAGAAATGTAAGAGATCTAGCACTAATAAACCCAGCACAGGGGGGTCGCGGCACAGTGGTGACGTGGCATAGTTGGATCAAGTATAATGATATCTGACAGTGATTAAAATCATTATCAAAAATAAACGCTTCGATGCAAATCTTTAGATAGTGTTTAATTATAAAAAAATTTGTATTTTATTCCAAAAGCTACTTGATCTGCTGGTTCCTTATTAATATCTCGATTAAGATAAAGTATGTCGAACGAAAAAAGGTTTATTAAAAAATATTATTTCTCATAAAAAAATTGTGTGGATCCATAAACTTTTCAATAAGTTATAGCATTATAAAGTTAAATATAATATAAATAATAAAATCGAAAATTTTCACACAAAAATAGCATTCGGTAGCCGTTTTCACCATGAAGACAAGTCCAGAGGTCAAATTTTTTTTTTTCAAATTAAAGTACATTACATTAGCTTTAATTTAAGATATATATAAAAGTGTCAGACCTTCCGGAACATTTTCAAAAGTTAAGTTGAAAAAGTTAATTTTTTGTGAAAAAGTTGTCATTTTAAATCCCCCCCTGTGGGCAGCAAAAAGGTCAAATTTACAAAAAAAATATACCAAATGATAAGTAAAGACATCAAGCATCTATAAAAAAAAGAATTATATTGATATGTTCATTTTTAAAAAAGTTACGGCAGTTTTTAGTAAAAAAAATTGAAAAAATTTCGAAAACTACCGATTTTTAAATTTGTAATTTTTTTGGAGGTTTCCCCCTTTTACGGGGAACGATGGAAATTTTTTCAATTTTTAAGGGTAATGTCTTCGATTAGATACGATTTGTGATCTTTTGACGTATCATTGAAAGAAATCCGTTCGGTGAGAGCTGAGAAAAAGTGGTAACAGACACAAAAAAAATAAAAATAAAAATAAAAAAAAAAATAAAATAAAAAACACATCATAGTAAAACCAATACCTTCTCAGCTTCGCATCGAAGCTAAAATTCATGAAACATTGTAATTGACTGATGTACCATAGAAGCCACTGTTTTTATCAATATATATTTATAAATATATATTATCAATATGTGGATCTGAGACTATTCTAGTACAATATTGATATTAATCAATAAAGTGTTCAGATATTAATCTAAGTTATAGTTTTAAGTAACGTTATATAAAAAATTAGGAAAGAGTTAAGTGAAGTAAAATATTTCAAGTACTTTTAATAAACGCCTTTTTTTTTTGAAAAGGGGCTCATTAGTAAATGTTTCATATTTAGGAAGATCTTCTTCTTCAATAATCTTTTCTAATATTTCTCTGAGACGGTCTTCTTCATGTACTGAACTAAATGGAACCATGTTAATTATAAATGTCATATCTCCTTTTCCAGCCAAATATCCTTTTTTGAGATCTCGTTTTTCGTCATCAGAACCTTTTAAAAAAAATTTTAATAGTTAGACATTTTACAATAATATATTATTTAATTCTAACCTTTATAATTTTTTTCAAACTCTCTTATATCATCATCAGTAATTTTTTTAAATATTGAACGCCAATATGTTTCCCATGGGAAGTCATCATCAGCTGTATTAGGATCAATGTCATCACCAACACAACCTTAAATTTAAAAAAAATAAGGTTTAACCAAATCAAATATAACTTTCTTAATTAGTTGTTATACACATCACCACACAAATGAGTATTAAATAATTCAACAACTTTATTGACAAATATTTTAATAGAAGTTTAATTATAATACAAAAATATAGAAATATTTAACATCACTGATATACCTGTAGTATCGTACAATTTTCTTTTTTCAGGATCTGCTAACAATGCGTGTATTTGACTAATGACTTTGAATTTCTCAGTTGCTTCAAATTTTTCATTTTCAGGAACTTTATCAGGGTGAAGTTTCATCGAAAGAACATAGTATGCTTTTCGAACTGCATATAAAAAATTTTATTAAAGAAATAATTAACATTCATTTTTATTTTTTTAAAAATGCAATTGTAAGTTTACAAACCTTCTTTATCAGTAGCATTTTTATTCGTCTTTAAGACATCATACAAATTATCAGTATCGAAATATTTTCGACACAATTCTAAAAATGCAACCATTTTTTAATGGTAAATTTACAACATACGTTAAGATAATAAAACGAAATCAAAAGTATTAAATAAGTAGAAAAATGATAAACTGAAGAAATTTCGCTTAAAATATAACGTAAAATCTAAAGCCTAAAGTAATATAAATAATTACGACAGTTAAAATATTTAATCAAAAATATTTTTGTCATAAAATTTAAGAGTTAATGATCCAACGATTACAATTGTCTTCACAATCAAAATTACAGAATTGGCGGGGAAAACTCACACTATTAAGACAGTAAATCGAATTTCAACAACATATGATAGAATTTTTATTTTTATATTTTTAAATATATTAGCTTTTTATTGCTAGATGTCAGCACAAACTTAATTCTTATTTTCAAATGTGTTATCATTATTAATAATTGCCGCTATTCTATTTTACTGGTTATTTTCAAATTAACAATTACTAATCGAGACGTAATACACCAAATTATTTATGTGTTCATGATAGAATTTTATTAATTTTCATTCATTTTTATTACGGCAAAATAAAATGTGATTTATTCTCTAATTTAAAAACAATTTTTATTATTAAATCTCTGATCTTGATATTTTAAAAGACGTCTACCAGGAATGCACTTTGTTACGTAAGATTATTTGACTATAGTACAAATTAAATTATAGGTTTGATTTAAAAAAATTTTTAAAAGAAATATTTTTTTAAGTTAGCTTTTTTTGAAAAAAATTATCTTCTTTTAATGAACTTGACCAAGACCATTCAAAATTTCCAAACAAAACTATTACATCACCTAAATCCACTCATCAACTTCATGTCATCTCACTCGTTTTTCAAATAATTTATCGCAGATTAAAAAGAAAACTGGTGTAAAAATTTACTTTTAATTATCGTAAAATTATTATTAAATTATTGAAAACAAATATGTAATATAATTTGTGATTATCATAATTACTTACTGTTTTGTTTATTAATAGATTGTAACATTTTTTCATAATAAATAAAAAATTAATTTGTTACTTTTCTTGTGGCATATACTCTATATATGGCGAAAATAGAGCTATTACTTTAATCAAATTTACTGAAAAATCAACCATAATTTTTTTTATTACTTTAAACGTATTTATCAAAGTCAAAAATACATTATGAACAAGAATAAACCTTTGTAATTTATTCTATCTTAGTATGTTTTCAATTTTTAGTTTAAATTCTCTAAATCAATTAAATAGCTCCTAAAATTATTTTTAGCAGAGCTTAATGTAAATATTTTAACAATTATTGATCAAATGTTATTAAAAATCTTTAATTATTTATAATTAAAAAAGATAAAATTACATCTCGTACATTCCATGTACTTACCTAGACTGAAGATATTACTTTAAGCTCTAATTACTATGACATATAAGATATGTTGATGTATTGATTCTAATTACTTAATGAATGGACAATAAAAAAAAATATTTAAGTGCTTTTAAGTGTACTATGTAAATTAAATGATTTATTCTACTTATCAAAACTTTTTACAGGATGAAAAATAAATCTCCTCTTATAACTGACACATTTTCTCAAAAGCATCATTTAAATTTTAGCCATAGTAACCAGAGAAAACGTTTTCACGGAGAAGATGAAACTGACTTTTTTGGGTTGCCATCAAAAGTAAAACACTTATTTCAAAAACACAAAGGAATTACAAAACTTTACGGTAATAAATTTATCTTTATTAAATTCTTAGATAATCAAAATATATTTCTGTGCATTTTAGATTGGCAAATTGAATGTTTAAATTTAGAAGCTGTAAAGGATAAAAAAAATTTAGTGTATGCCTTACCTACTAGTGGTGGTAAAACATTAGTTGCAGAAATTCTAATGCTTAAAGAACTTTTAGTTAATGAAAAAAATGTAATATTTATACTACCATATGTTGCCTTAGTTCAAGAAAAGGTACATTTATAGAACATAGTAAATATATATTTTATATAAGTATGCTTTTTAAGTTTTATTATTTATACTTTTATGTTTTTTAGGTGCAATCATTGTCTCCCTTTGGTCTCAACTTAGAATTTCATGTTGAAGAATATGTTGGAGGTAAAGGAAAACATCCACCCATCAATAGAAAACGTAAATCATCATTGTATGTTTGTACTTTGGAAAGAGGTGCTGGTTTAGTTGATTGTATGCTAAGCGATAATGGTCGATTAGGAGGTAGAGAAGTTGGTATGATAGTTGTTGATGAATTGCATCTTCTCGGAGAACAAAAAAGAGGAGCTTTATTAGAAGCAACTCTTACAAAAATATTATATTCTAAATGTAAATTTTCAATTTTAAATTTTTAAATTATTGGTTGTGTGGTAAAACTTTGTAAGTCTTAATATTGACCATTTTTTTATTATTAAAATATGTAGGAATTCTATTTTTGTATCAACTTCATTGTAAATTTATTATGATAATGCACAAAAACTAAACCTTATTTCTACAATAACAAATCCACGACCAAAAAGTTTTTTGTTTCTTCTGTAAAATTAGTAAAATGTGACTTCACATGTTTTACCATGTAGCCAACAATGTATTAATACTTGAAGAAGTAAAGGGAAAATTATATTACTTATCTTCAATTATTTTTGACAAAATTTATGGAATTTAGAAAAATACATTATTTTGAAAATTTTACTAACTGTGGCATATTATTTTATAGATAATATTCAAATTGTTGGTATGTCTGCAACAATTGGCAACATGCCAGAGATAGGTGATTTTTTGAATTCGTTTCTTTATATTAGAGATTTTAGACCTGTTGATCTCACTGAAACAATCAAGTTAAATGATGAAATATATGTGATCAATAGAGATATTGATGGTTCTATTAAGTCCAAACTTGATAGGAAACTAAATTTTGATGTTAGTTTATATTTAATATCTTAGTAATATTTTAATCTATCAAAAATAACCTTGTTTTTTTTTTTTTTGCTGTAGTGCTATACAGTTGACATGAAAAAGTTTGATCCAAATGGATTTGGTCTATTAGTCAGAGAAATATTACCAAGTGGAAGCTGTTTAGTATTTTGTCCAACAAAAAGCTGTTGTCAAAGTGTAGCTAAAATAATTTATAAAACTATTGGAAAGTGAGTGTATATAATACTTTTTTTTGTATATAATCCTAGTAAAATAGAATCTTCTAAAAGTATTATTTAAAAAATGAAAAATCTAAATTGTAGTATTGCCAGTTGCTTAAAAAGTTAAAAATTAATTTTTCTTTCGATAGTCTCCAATGGGGATTTTAGAATAATAAATATAAATCAATATATTACCAATATAAATTTAAAAAATTGTTAGCAGATTGCAAACTTTAGAGAGAGTAACACCCTAGTATATTATTTTTAGTTTACAATGGGTACTACTACTTTTTTTCAACATATACTTATAATAAGTTTATTAAATTAATTAATTTTATTAAACATGTTATATTTATAATATAATATGTTAGAAAAGAAGCTAAAGTTAAATTAAAAGAGAAAGAAGCATTATTCAATGCTTTGAAAGAAGAAGGTAATGGAAAAGTATGTCCTCTGTTGTCAAGAAGTATTTTGTTTGGAGTTGCGTATCATAATTCTGGTAATAGCACAGTCATTAGTAGAACTTTTATTCTTTATTTAATTTATTATATTTTTTAAAACTAAAATTATTTAAATAAATATATAAAAGAAGTTGTACAATTTTTCTTAAAAAATGTTTCAAAACTAAAGTTAGATTTAAATTTTTATCTAATTTGTGTTATCATGATTTTATTTCGAATAATGATTTAATTTTTTACTATACAATTTTAAAAATTCGATTTCTCAACTTGAATGAAAGTTTTATATAAGAACAATATTTTAAGTTACAAAAGTTAAAATTGGTGATATATCATAGATTTAAGTATTTATATAGAGTACGATCATAGATTAAATACACATAGATGGGCCACGGCATTCAGACAATTGGCAACCGATTTTTTGTTAATTTATACCTTTAGCGATAGCGCTATATATCCTCCTTATGAGGTTTTCATGTATAAAATTAATAATTTAATTTTTCAAATATACAATGAAATATTAAAAAAAAAAAAACAAATTATAAATATTTTAGAAAAAAATATTCAAACAAATAATCAGTTTTAACCAAAGTTCAGATCACTAAAAATTATAAAATAAGAAGTTAAGATAGGTTTATCCTATAATAATATTAATTTCCTCTTAGAATCTTTAATTTATCAGCGAAGCCCATCTTATGAAATTTTGACTTCAAGTTAAATATTCTAAGTGTGACAAGCACTCTTGTGAAGTATTTATAATAGGATATAATTCATTTGTGATTATAATATTTAATTTAAAACTCAATTGTGTTGTATACGACTTTTCATTTATCTGTTGAGCATTAGTAACAAAATGTATTCAAATTTCTTTTGGTTTTTTCAACTTACTAGTAATTATTTGATTTTGTGTTTGAATGTTTTATAAAAAATTAAAAATTCTTTGTCATTAAAAAGATTTGTGTCCTCTTTCATAAATTTCACATGGTTTACATAGAAATTTATCTAACAATTTTTTACCGAGATACCTAACAAAATATACATTTGAGCAGGTTTTTAAAGTTAATGTAGGAAGAGAAATCAGTTGTTCTTGTATATTAGGACAGAAATTAGAGAAAGAAGATATTTCAGATGTGTCTGAACTATAATTGGAATCCATATGATTTTCAGTTGTAGTTTCGTCAGTGGAAGATAAAGGTAAATCCAAAAAACCATCAAAACATGATGGTTTTACTCCATATCTTTTAATAGGTTGTGATAATCTAAGGTCACTAATAATAATGTTGGCTTGTTTTAGAAAGTTTAATTAATTGGGATTTTTACTATATAAAGTGCAAGAAAAAGAATAATTTTTATCATAAAGATTTTTCAACTTATCCTAATTACAAAATAATTTATCCGCCACTACTTTTTGTTTAAAATAATTTATAAAAGTATTTATAGGCCAACAGTTTAGTCTTGTACTGTAATACCATATTTTATGTCAAAGTTCTATTAAGGATTCTTAGTATAGTATTAAAATAAAAAATTTAATTAAATTTCAATGAAAAAATTATTACAAAGAGTTAAAATCATAAAAAAACTTTACATTATGTCATAAAATACAATTAACGTTTATAACAATAACTGTTTAATTATGTGCATCATGCATTCATTTAATAATTATTAAAGATTTAAAATACCACGTATATTTCAATCAATAGAAGCACTCAAAATTTACGCTATCTATCAGCACAATCGCCTGCGTCCAGCGCATCGTTTCCCTGCGTCCATTCATGATAAAAATTGGACTGTCAAAATTGTGTACAGCATGGTCTATCTATATGTATTTAATCTATGGGACAATATTTATTTATTACGAACTACTTAATTAATCAAAAAAAAAAAAAATGATATTAGAAATTTTCTTTTAATTTTCTTTTGAGTACTTGTTTTTCTCAATTTAACAATCATAGTATATTTTTTATGTTTATCCCTATACTTTATAATGATATTAACTTTATTTTTGAAATGATAATATATATAATTAACTACCTCATTTATTAGATATAGACCTAGTTAAGAAAATAACTAGTTGATAATCATTTTTGGACCAGTATTTCAGAAGCTATTAACAAAGTATTAACTGGAGGTGAGGTGTAGAAGTTGCTATTTTTATCACTAGAAATTTCTCGGCCTCACTCTTCCTCCTATCAAAATATAAAAATGTTAATATCTTCTGAAGCACTTGTCCAAAAGTTGTTGTCAACTAGTCATTTTCTTAATTGGATTATTTTCTATTTTATAAGCTAGTTAAATATGTGTTTTGTCTTTTGAAAAATTAAGGTATTGACATCCTAATAAGGTGTTATAATTGATGAACATGAAAAATACTACATGATATATATTTGTATATTGTAATTACATTTGCCATTTAGGTTTAACAAATGCTGAACGAAAATTGTTGGAAGAAGCTTTTCTAAGTGGTACTATTAAATGTATTTGTTGTACGTCAACTTTAGCTGCTGGTGTTAATTTACCAGCTCAAAGAGTAATATCATTATTTAAATTTTTTGATCATTCTTTAATTATAATTAAAGAATGATAATTATTATTACTTTTCTTATATAAATAAATAATAAATTACAGGTAAATTTAATTGCAGGTTATAATAACATCACCCTATGTTGGAAGAGAGTTTATGAAACAGAGTACTTATAGACAGATGGTTGGACGAGCTGGTAGAGCTGGTTTAACAAAACATGGAGATAGTGTATTGTTGTGTCAAGAAAATGAGAAAATCAAGGTAATAAATAACTTATTAAAAAAAATTAAACAAAACTTTAATTGATTTTAAATGAAAGAAAATTATTTGATTTTTCTTATGTTAGAATAAATATAAAATTATATACTGATATAGTTTTATGTTTATGATTAAAATTTAAATGGTTCAATGGAAATAAGTTACAAAAAAATAATTACTATTTCTCAATGGCTAGTTGTAACATGTTATTTGTAGATTTAAGGGAAAATATTTCTCTTAAAATTATATTAAAAGATTAATTTATAATCATTGACATAGGCAAACATAAAGGGAGTGCTATAGGTGTTCTAAAATACCTGTTAAAAAAGCCATTTAGGTATAAATTATTCAATGGTATCCTTCTTCTTTTTTCTCGCCTTAATTCCAACTATTTGTGATCGCACAAAATTATTCAATGACATTATATAAAAATTTTATAAATTTCATAATCTATTTCATATATTTTGCTCTATTAGTTAAAAATTATTTATATTTCAAATACTATTAGATTATTGTTAAATTATGATTCCATGTCATATACTAACTGGCCATAATTAAATATTTCTGTGACTTGTATTTAAAAACTGAAAATTCATTACAATAGGTTAAAGAAATATTTTTGTCATTTTTATAGATAAGAATACCTTCTATTATATATTAAAAAAGTATTAGTTAATTGTAGTGAGAAAGTTGTTTTTTGTAATATTTTATTGTAAATTTGCTTAAAATATGATCGTAAATTATATCAGATTGCTTTCAATTCTTAAGGTTTTCATTGTTTATTAGCTTCGATGCGAAGCTGAGAAGGAATTGGTTTTACTAAGTCTGACATTTTTATATGTATTTTAAATTAAAGCTAATGTAATGTACTTTATTATGAAAAAAAAAATTTCGGACTTTATTTTGTCTTCACGGTAAAAACAGACATCAAAGTTAAGTAGTTAAGTACTATTTTTGTAAAAAAATTCTTTTTTATATTTTAACTTTTAATGTTATTTTTTTGAAAAATGTATGGATCAATATAATTTTTTTTTATAGATGCATGATGTCTTTACCTATCATTTGGTATATTTTTTTATAAATCTGACTGTTTACCTTATATATTTTTAGCTTCGATGCGAAGCTGAAAAGGTATTAGTTTTACTATGATTTTTTTTTTTTTTTTTGTGTCTGTTACCATACTTTCTCAGCTCTCACCGAACCAATTTTTTTCATCGATACGTCAATAAATCACAAATCGTATCTACTCGAAGACATTAACCTCAAAAATTAAAAAAATTTCCCTCGTTCNATAAAGACGTCAATAAATCACAAATCGTATCTACTCGAAGACATTAACCTCAAAAATTAAAAAAATTTCCCTCGTTCCCCATAAATAAGTAAATCTTCAAAGAAAATTACAAATCGACATTTTTTCAATTTTTTTTACTTAAAACTACCATAACTTTTTTAAAAATAATCATAACAATATAATTTTTTTTATATAGATGCATGATGTCTACTTTTTATTTGGTATATTTTTTTTATAAACTGACCCTTTACCTGCCCACGGGGGGGGATTTAAAATGACAACTTTTTCACAAAAGAATAAAAATCAATAATAATTTGAAAAGAATTATAAAAATTATATAATGTATAATTAAAAATTATATAATATATTTTTGAATCTAAAAATTACTAATCTGGATATAATTAAGGAAATAGAAAAAGATGTTGTTTTTGTAATTATGCACCAATTTCATCGAATTAAATACTATCTACAGATTTGTATCGAAGCATTTCTTATGATAGTAATTTTAATCACTATCAGATTAAATCTATACTGGACCCAACTATGCCACGTCCCCATTGTGCCTCGAACCCAATGTGCTGAATTTTTTTAATATTATATAACATTAAATATTTATAATATATATGATATTTGTTTATGAATAATTTTTTATAAGAAAGATTTAATAAACAATTAATTTAAAATTTATAATTTTTATCCTTTAGATAAAAGATCTTCTGGAGAAGGGTATAGAAAATATAGATAGTTGTTTAGGAAATGAAGATAGTATAATTTATTCAATGATATTAAGTTCTATAAGTACAGAATGTACAAAAAATCGTAATCAGTTAGTGGAATTAATGAAACATACACTTTATGTAAAACAAGCAGAAAAACAAGGAAATGCCTCTACTGCTGCATCAGATTTAGTTGAATCATGTTTGGTTAAATTAGAATCTATAAATTCTTTTAGCAAGCTAAATGATGATGAAATTAAATTAACTGCAATTGCAAAAGCTGCTGTTAATGCTAACTTAGATATTCTAGAAGCACAAAAATTATATACTGATTTATTAGAAGCATCAAAAGCTTTGATTTTAACAAATAAATTGCATTTATTGTATTTAGCTGTTCCTTATACAGATTGTATACCATTAGAAAGACAAATCATTTTAAATAAAGTAAAAATATGAATGTTAAATTAAACCAAACTATTTAATTAAATAGTTAAAAGAGAATTATTATTTTAGATAACAAGTTTACAAAATGATGAACAAATATTGGCTGATCGAATAGGCTTAAATGAACTTTGTATTTCACAATTCATCACACAAGGAAAAATAAAAGTGAGTAAACTTGGTAGTGATTGAAGTTATTACTTCAATATTTAAAATAAATGTAAGTAAATTTTCATTTTCTTTACAATTAAAGGTGTATAAGACCAGGTTAGGAACAAAATAATTTCAGTTTTTGGCAATTTTTTTATATTTAGTTAATTAGTTCATCTATGTTGAATATTCCTCATTAAATGTTTGAAAAATGATTACAGAAATCAAAAATATTATGAGACTGTATTTGAAATCTTATATAAACTTAAAATTCATCTTTTGTCGTACATTGGTAGTACCCCGACATAGACACAATTGTAATACACAAATTAACTAATGTTTTTGATGACAAGTTCGTCGTTTTTAGCTCTTCTCGAGTCCTTCCATAGAATACACTGGTCAGCCCCAATCCCTCCAATTAGTGAACTACTAAATGGGTAGAGTTTAGACCCGTCAGCACGGTCTAGCTCAAAAGTAGCAGACTGAAGAGTGGCTTCTTATAAGCCACCAGCATAACTACGTTTTCACTATACCTACTAAAGGACAGTTAAGCTCAAAAACTAGCCAGCATTCACACTAATTATCAAGATCGACTAAAGGACCAGCAGTCCAACCTTGACTCTTACCGCACACGCATACACAATTTTAACAGCACGGTGGATATAAAGTATTTACGCTAAGTGCAGGTTTTTAAATAGTTATTTTATTTACGAAACGTAATAAACACAAAGTCTAAATTTAATATAAAAATGTAACATAAAATAAATTAAATTGTACAAAATACAAAGTTACTTGCACCAAACATCCTGACCCATAAATGAACGTTTATTCATCAAAACGTCAATCCCCCATACTTTTCATATTTCCCTTTATATATTCTTTTTTTCACCATTATTAATTTCCTACCCTGCACTTTCCCTTTATATGAACATTATTATATTGCTTAAGAATTTAAAAATTGATTACTACTGTGTTAAAACTTACATTGTACTAATATTGTCGTTTTTTTAATACTTCCTCAGCTATTTACTACACTTTAAAGAAGTTAAAAAACCGAAATTAATCAACATATATATATATCAATATAGATATACTAACTTACTAGATAAGGTAACAATTTTTGAAAAATTGAAATTATTTTAGTTTTTAACTTTGTACTTTAAAACCATGAGAAACGCTGGATAAATATTAATTTGCTATTGTTGGTTAAAATGGTTTTTTCAGCAAGTCATTAGCAATATAACATTTTATGTGACATTACTTTATCTTTTTTATTTTTTTGTTGAATTTTTAATATTTTAAAAATATTCTTTTCATAATACAACATTGATAGTTAAAGTTAATAAAATTGAATTAAATAATTTCAAAATTTTTTGTTTTATTTTTTCTTACAATTAGTCTCCTAGAACTGTTGCTTAGTGTATTTAGCTTCCAAACAAAAATTTAATGTTAATGTCGAATAATTTTGTTTTAAATTAGTAGCCATGAGACCAAATAAAACATTTTAAAATATAAATGTCCTGTAAATAATATATTATGTCAAAATTATATAAATAGAATTTGCCAGATACTGTTTGGAACAAATTTCTCATGAGTTTAATTTTGAATGACTTGTGGCATAATGAATCTGTATGGGTTGTTTCTAAAAATTATAATGTGCCTAGAGGAAATATACTTTCATTTTTATCAAGAACAGCTTCTTATGCTTCATCGATACAAAGGTTTACAGAAGTAAGTAAATATATTATTTTTTGAAACTCATTTTACTTTTGTGAGTATATCTAATTCTAATATACAGAAAATAACATTTTTCATGTTCAAAAATAGTTTTTCCATATATTATGCATTTATTATTAAGTATGATTTTCCTTTCATTTATTCTAATTTTTATAAATATTATGTCATAATTTTTGTGACAATTTAAATGACATTCAGAAAAATGTATGCAGTTGTGATTAAATTAAGAAAAAAATTAGAATTAAAGTAATAAAATTAAAAAAAAAAAATTTATGTTAATGGCCTAAAAAATACTAGTAGTTTAACTTATTAACTTTTATACTGTAATTTGTAACTATTTTTCAATAAATAAAAAATTTAGGCACTCCAAGATAAAAAATTAGATCATTTTCCTATGTTGTTTCAAAGTATTGTTCCAAAACTCAATTTAGAATTAATGGGTTGTTCTACAGACTTGGAGTCATTAATGAGCCTTCCATCTGTTAAATTTGTAAGTATTTAGGTGTTAAATTTTATTTTAATTGAATTATGTTCAAGTATAATAGATTTTAATTTAATTTTTATAGTGCTTAATTTTTTAAACAATGTTACTTACATACTTAAATCAAGTTTTACTAAAGGATCAAGTGTCTTCTTCTTCATTTTCCTCGCCTTAATCTCAACTACTTGGGGTCGGCCACCCTTATCCTAAACTTCCACTTGACACAATCTCCCGCATCCTCTACGCTCACATCAGCTGTCCTCATATTGCATTCAATAACATCTTTCCATCTCTTTTTTGTCTTTCTCTACCTCTTCTTCCTTCAATATTCATTTCTATAACTGTTCTTAGTAAAGGATCAAGTGTAAAAATAATATTTTTTTGCCTTTAATTGTGATAAGTTAATTATTATTTTAATTTTTACAGGGTAGAGCTACACAGTTATATAAAGCTGGATATAAAACATTAAGTGATGTTGCAAAAGCAAATAAAAAGGAGTTATGCAAAAATATTGATCATTTATCCATGAAAGTAGCCCGTGAAATTATTGCTTCAGCTAAAGTAGTAAAATTTTTAAAATAAATTTATAAAATTGTTTCATAGTATTTATAAATTATATTACACTTTTTATAGCTTATGTTGCTTTCTAAAGCTGAAATACTAGAGGAATTAGCTGAGGATTTACGAACTGATCTTAATGAATCCATGTTAAAACACAAAGAACATTCATTATGGTTTAATTAAGGATATATTGTAAATAATTTTTAAGACTGAAAGTGAGATTAAATAAAATAAATCAAAGAGTTGTTTCATTATAGTCACATTATAAAAGTTATAAATTATTTAATTGATTCTATAAATTTAATTTGATTAAAATTTGAACATTTAGTGTACTTCTATTTTCTTATTATTTTAAAATATAAATTATAATATCTTAAAATCTTATTGTAATAGCAATAAAAATATGATCAATATTATTATTTAATAAATTATTTAAATAAATTACACTTAATATATATTTTTTTAATTTATTATAGTAATTAATAATTTGAAAAATCACCTTGATAAAAATCTTACAGATATTTTAGACATTTTGTATATAAAAAAATGATGTTAGAATGACTTTTTTATGTTATAAACAAATTAATTTTTAATGTAAAGAAAAAACAAAATCGATTACTTTTTATAGGACCTAATTAAAACAAAGTAAAATATTTAATTTTCAAATGAAAAAATATTGTTTTTACTAAACTTTTAATATTAAATTATGTAGAATTTTTATAGTTATATTTTGTGGAACATTTCTATGTAAGTATTAAACATAAATTTTATGTCATGAATTTTCTTAAGCACAAAAAACTTATGACCTCTAAATCTATTATTCATTATTTAAAGACACCATTTTACCATTTTTTGCATAAAATTTTGATACCAAATACACATTTTTCGATTTTTACATCGTACATCATGCTCATTAAACAAGATTGGGTTAATATATATACTATTTTCTAATGCATTTTAAATATACTTTTTATATAAAATATGCACATTACTTTTTTAACGATAATGATATTTATCACTTAATGTAATATAATTAATTTTGATATAAATCAAAATTTTTGTGAAATCTGCATTTATATGAAACATAAATTAGTTAAAATTCTATTTAGTGCCAAATTAAAAAGTAAAATAGCCACCCTTTCTATTGGATTAAAGATTATAATGAATTTTTTTAAACCAAGTGCTATTTATCATTAATTTTCTAAACTAATAACTTTTCTGAAAAGATAGCATTTTTAAAATCAATTGTTTCAAAATCATTTTTGATCACGTAAAACGTTTTACTCTAGGTGCATTATATCTCTTTTTTAACTAAAACATTAATTCAAATACAAAAGAAATCAACATGTTGCCTATTTTTTTACAAGGTTTGCACAGTTGTAATAGAAATCTTCATTAAGTAAATGTCTTCATGATATAATTAAGGCTTTTAACTCTAATTTGACCAATAATAAGTAATTAATAAATATTGACTTTAATACACTATTTTATTTATTTATAAAATCAAATATTTGATACTTTAATAAAAAATTTAATTTTTTTAATTAAGCAAGAATAAATATAATAAAAAAAATTTGTTTCATAAGGAAGCTATAATACTTGGGAATTAATAAAATTACAGAAATTTTCATGTACAAAAAATCTAATAAATAAAATGATATGGACTAATACAATTTAAGTGTTTGTAGTATATATATATATATATATAGTTCTTTATAATTATATTGCAACAATAGTAAACAAATAATAAATAATTAGTATTAAACAATAGATTTTACACTGTCATTTAAAAATATTTTTTATAAATCATTTTATCTATGTATAGGAATGACAGAAATACATGTATAATGAAGTTTATTTAGTTGGTAATGGTTTTTTAAGAGGCATTTGTTTTAACTGAAGAATAATAGATCGCATACGTGTAACATCTTTACTTGCACGGTTGGCTTTTGGATTGAAATCACAAAGTTTTGTAATACGGTCCCATTCAGTTCCAGGTTCAATATCATCAGATTCGGCAACAAATTGTTTTTCAGCATTTCTGATTAAATAAAAAAATTAACATCAGTAAAAATGAATGTTTTTTTTTTTTTTTTTGATAAACAGAATGTAAATATTATTTATAAGGCAATTTTTATATTATAAAAATCATATATTTCCTACTCACATTGCAGATTCACTATCCAAAAAATGATGCAGTTAATTAAAAAATATAATTAGTTTTAATATTAATGAAAATTATAAAATAGTAAGATAAATACCGGTTAACATCTTTAGTTTTAGCAATTTGTTCTTTATGTGATTTATACCATTCTTCTAACTCTTTTTTTGCTATTAACCTCAATTCTTCTTTTTTCTTTTCTTCGTTGGCATCTATATATAAATTTCATGATTTGATTATTGAAAAAAGAAGTTTACTTGCATTTTAATATTAATATATAATATTATATTGTAAATATAATATATTATATTTATTTTATAGTTTCAGTTTTATACCTTTTTCTTCTAACAAAGTTTTCTGCTCAGCCCTCCATTTTTTAATCTTTTCAGCTTCTTCTCGTTCAACTTTAGGAGTAATTATTGGGGATGAGGTTTCTGGAATAAAATAAAAATAACTTCACTAATATTATTAAAGAAAACATAATTAACATTAAGACTAAATAAGTATAATTTGTTTTATTATTTACCTTGATTTAATACTTATCGTACTAATTTTTATTCAAAATAAATCCTCCGTAGTAATAATAGTAACAAAAAACACTATTTAAAATGTGAATAATGAACTAATAATAGAACTTTTTTAATTTGAAGCTCAAAGGAAATGATATTTTTTAAATTTATTAGGTTTTCAACTTAAGAAAAAATATTTCTTTTTAAGATTTTAAATCATTTATTTGAGTCATTTTTGAATGCACAACGCTAACCCATACACCATTAACCTGTCTTTTATATAGTTGGTTACACAATAAATACCCTGATATTCTCAAAAGTATACCAATAAAAACTAAACAAAAAATTAGGAAAACATTTTTGCAGAAAAATCTTATTGGAAGTATTTCTAAATTACCAAATTGTGGCATAATGAAAATGTTCTATCTAAAATTTATAAATCTCGGATTTGAAAGAGATAATTTTTCAAGTATACTATAGTTTTTCTTTCAAGTATTCAAACTTTGTCAATGGAATGAAATTTAATATAACTTCTTACTGATGGTCTCTACTGTATTTTTAAATTTTACAAAGATTTAACATTATTGAATGGCCCAAATAAGAAATTAAAATATTTTATAATACAAATATAATAGTATCAAGCAAGTTTGTTAACTTATATGCCAAACTAAAAAATAAAACTGGCATGCTTTTAATACTCCAGTCATAATAATAATATCTACAAGCATACTTTTTTTTAATTCAGCAGATTGAAAAAAATGTTTTTAATTTCTAAAGACATCCATTTGGATAACTTACCGTCATCACTATGAGCAGTTGTACCATTAGTTAATCCATTTTCTAAAAATAAACAAAATAATACGAGATTTTCATCATAAATAATTACAATTAATTAGATTACTATGAAAAATAAGAAATAAATGTTAATAACTTTAAAGAAATTATTCATTTTAAATAAAGATATATAACATAACAATTAATAATAACTCATAAGGGAGACAGTTTTAATTTATAATTTTCTATGATAATAGATTCTTCTTCTTCCTCGCCTTAATCCCAACTACTTGGGGTCGGCCGCTCTTATCCTAAACTTCCACTTGACACGATCTCCCGCATCCTCTACGCTCACATCAGCTGTCCTTATATTGCATTCAATAACATCTTTCCATCTCTACCTCTTCTTCCTTCAACATTCATTTCTACAACTGTTCTTACAGCTTCCGAATCTTCTCTTCTCATAACGTGACCAAACCATCTAAGTCTATTTTCTCTCATCTTATCCACGATTGACGCTATACCTATACTCCCTATTATATGCTCATTTCTTATCCTATCTTCTCTAGTTACTCCACTCATCCATCTAAGCATTCTCATCTCTGCTCTACATTCTTATCGACCGTCCAACACTCTGAACCCTACATCATAGCTGGCTTCACTACAATCTTGTAGAATTTACCTTTCAGCCTCATTGGAATTATTTTTCCGCATAAGACGCCAGACACTTCTCTCCACTTCAACCACACTTACTTAAACCTGTATCAATACCACCGCTCTTTTGCACAACTGATCCTAAATACTTGAAACTTTCCACCTCTCCAATCATGTCCTCACCTACCTTGGTGTCTTCTTTAACAAACTCNTTGTCACTGATCTTATTTCACCTACCTTGGTGTCTTCTTTAACAAACTCGTACACTATATACTCTGCCTTACTCCTACTTATTCTTAATCCCTTTTCTTCAAGAGCTGATCTCCACACCTGAGACGATGATAATAGATTATTCTTCTATATATATATAACCAAAAAATAAATTTAAGAATGTACAGTAAAATAATATTTTTTATTCAGTTTATAAAGCCCTACAATTTTTAGCTTTTTTTGATAGTAATACTCATGCAATTAAGCTCGACTATAAAACAAATTTCAAATGTAATTACTAAATAACTAAAAATAAAAATCTACTTTCTCACAAAATAGCATGGCACATATTGAAATTCTTTACCTTTTACTAGAGATTTTATAATTAACAGCAAATTTTTTCAATGAATTTGCATAAATTATGTACTTTTAATTAGATTAGTTTTTAACATTTATATCTTATGTAGGTTTTATGCAAAAAAAGTTTTTTATGCATTCAACTTTTTGTGTTTAAATATTTACATATTAGTAGAGACAAAGGCTAATGAAACTCACCCTTTACAGTGTTTATCATTTGATTTTCTGCACTATCTATTATTTCAAAGCTGCTTCCTGAACCTACTTAGATGTTATATGCATGTCATGCGGAAAATCACATAAAATACATAAATTAATAAAAAAAAAATGCAACACAAAGCATGCAACCATATTTAAAAAAACATCTATTTTAAATAATAATATATTTATTTTTACATTTTATAAAAAACATACCATTTGATAATGTTTGGGTGACACCAATTGGTATACTTCCAGTGTTGAGATCGTCTTCTAATCCAGCTAATTGAGACTGCTCGCGCGCTAGGAATTCTGCAGCGGGATCAACATCACCATCTTCAAAATTATCTCCAAAATTATCCATTACAAATAACTAAAATTCGATTAAATAATTAAAAATGTACAAAATATGTACGATAAAACATATGATTATTTTAAGTACATATTTATTTATAAAGATAATGATTTTATTTATTTAGGCATTTAATTTTCCTTTATAAATACAGAAACATAAACACTTAAAGTAACTTACAAAAAATAATATAATACTTTTGAATTTATTGGAAATGGATTTTACGCTAATAAAAATTATGAAAGACCGATTTAATATCTTACTGATATTAACGATTTATACGACTATATCGAATCTGTCTTATGAATGATCAGCGAATAAGCAACTTATGATTGTGTGGCACTCACAATTATAGATAAGGCTACAATAATGTACCAGATTTTAACATATCACAGGCATGTCAAATACATGACAAAAGCTTTTACATAAAACAGCTATAACCAAATTACATGATTACAACTTAATACTTACAATTTTTTTTTAAATATACAACACATCACTGTATCAGTTAAATTTTTTAAAATAATAACAAAAATTGCTAAATTTTTAATGATAATGATAGACTGTATTTCCCTAATGAGAACTGCCGGTTCAGATGATAAGAATAAAATAAGAATATTGAGTAAGCAAAAATTTGAAAAATTATCTGAAGATATTAAAATTTATTTAATTATTTTAATTATTAATAAGAGTTAAAACACCTGGAACGCAGTGAATACTATAAAATAGTTAAAGAAAGCATTGAGTTTATTTAGAAAACGTTTTTGGATCTATTTTAATAATATTTAAAATAATCAGTTTTAAATTATTAATAATAAACATGCTACCATCAGCCAGTAAAAGTGTTGTTATTGGCAGTTCTGACTACATCTCATTATTAGATGGACTCAAAATCATTAATCTTAATTCACCAAAAAAGGAAGAAAATAACATAAAATCAAAAAGTATAGTCAAATATTTTAATTTTTAAATAAATTTTTTGTATGAAATGTTGTATTATAACTCTTTGTATAGATAGTGAAACTTCTAAACACAATGTATCATATATGCATTGTATTACATGCCAAATAGCTTTTGAAGTCGATGAAGAACATAAGGCTCATTATAAATCTGAATGGCATAGATTCAATTTAAAACAAAAAATAAGAAATAAAAATATTCTTAATGAATCAGAATTTTTATCATTAGAAAGTAAGTTTTCATAAAAGTACTAGCTGTTTGTTTAAAAAAAAAAAAGCAAATAGTTTATCATGATCAGTAGTGATTTTATCACTTTTAGGCCTTGTAAGGGTGTCAACTCTGTTAAATAAAGAGTTAACTACTGATCATGATAACCTATTCGATTTATTTTTTTATAATAGTACATTTATCCACTCCTTTATAATATATTTTTTATCTTTCACTAAATAAGGGTATATTTCTATCATTTTGGAAATCAACATTTGTTACTGATATTTTAAAATCTAAAATCTATAGTTTCTAATCATCTTTATTATATTAGTGCTTCCTAAGATATATTCTAAAATTGAAAATTTTAAATTCACATCTATTTCAAAAAGCTTTCTTGTTCCTCAACAACATAGTTTTAGCAGTAATAAATTCACACCGTATTCTTTCTCTTGTGATGCTCAAACCAACACTACTGATTTTGAGAAGGCCTTAGACAGATTAGATCATAATTTGTTAATAACTAAACTAAATAATTTACTGTTTTCTTATTGTCATAACTCAACTTCTTTATCTGTCACAGAATTCAGTTAGGATTAAAACCAAATTTCTGAGGCTATTGATGTTAAATCAGGTGTCCTACAGAGAGATCATCTCACTTCTTTATTATTTAATTTATTTATAAATGACTTAGTTTTTACAATTAATTATTCAAATATATTACTTTTTGCTATTCTTGCTAACATATTTTTAATTATCAATTCTATAAATGATGGCAATGACTTACTATTAGATTTAATCAATTTTAACCACTAGTGAGATTTTAATGTTTTTCAATTGAACATAAATAAATGCCAAGCTATCATGTTTACAAAAAAATACAACAAATATTTCTTATAGCTACAAATTGAATAATATCACTTTGAATATGGAACTCCAGTTAAATTAATGCTGTTTAAAATAAATTTGTTTGATTCATTGGATTAAAAACAAAAATGTTAAGGCCTCCTTATTCAGGTTATAGTAACATTTTTAATTTTCTTAATCCTATATCTCTATCAGATCTAAGAAATGATTCTTATATAAGTTATTTTTAAAAAATTATATATAATGAAATAGAAAATTCTCATTTATTAAACCTTATTAATTAAGAAACTAATAATTACCACGATAGAGATAAACCTTTATTTCATATTCCCCAATTTATTGTATCTATTTGAAACAGTATTTATTAATAAAGGAAAATATGTATATATATTTCCATACCTCCTGTAGATACATAATATTCTTTCCTGGTACCATTCTTTTATTATATGGAAATGATTTTAGTAATAAATTTAAAAAAATTATCATAATGCTGCTGTCATTTTTATTTTGTTAAAGCTTTTAATTATTGTTTTATGAAAAATTATTTTGTAATTAATTTTTGTACATTGTTTTCGTAACCTTTAGTTAAATTGTCATTTTTTATTGTACATCAAATTGATATTCAGTCCATAATTTAATAAATAAAATATTATTCTTGGGATAATAATACAATTTCAAAAATTTAATTGATGAATAACATTTTTTTTTTTAACATTTTAATATATAATTCATATACAATACAAAATATAATCCACTGCCATAACAGTTTAAAAGGGGCCAAAATGTTTTTGAAAATTTTTTGTTGTTAGTAGTTCAACTTATTTTATATAACAAATAATACAAGTTATTATATTATTTTTTAACTTTATTTGACAAAAATTACAAAACAAAAAAATTATTGTAAAACTAGTTATGGTTTTATTTGTTAAACCCATCTCAATGGACTGTTACCATTGTAATTCAAAATCCACTGGACAGATTTGATTGAAATATATACAGCTTATTGAAAGCATAAAAATTAAGTGCCTGATCGAAGGATTTTTTTTCTTATTAAAAATTGTATTTTTAATAAACAATAAACTAGAGTTCTTTTAAATGAAAATTCTCAAATAAATTATCAGATGCCACTGTTTTGTTTATTTGTTTATTTTGTTTATATTATTATTGGCCACCGCAAAGCATGACTTGTGAGAGGGGTTTAAAAAATATAGTCATATTTGGTTTACAATAATTTTATTTTACTTTTTGTCAAATAAAGTTAAAACATAATATAATAATTTTATATTATTTGTTCTATAAAATAAATGTAACTACAGTCCAACATAAATCCTATTTCTATACTCATTTTTTCACTTCTTATCCCTTCAATATGAGACAAGTAACTTCTTTTTACTTACATAGAATTTTTAAAAATAAAGTGTTTGAATTTATTTTTGTTTAAATAAGAATTGTTTTATGTACAACAAAATATTTTACGTTTTTTGATATCACCCATTTTTAATTTTTTGTTTTTCATATTTTGATTATGTTTTAATAAAAATTTTTGCTATAATTTTTATAATTATAATATTATTTAAATTTTTTTCTTGATCTGATTTAATGTATTTTAATGTATTTCTGTTTTCATTTAAAAGTTATATTTCTAGAATCTCTTAAAATGTATGAAATAAACACAATATTTTATTTTATTTCTAGAAAATAATGTTGATTGTTCTTCCAGTGATGAAAGTGATAATGAAATTTTAGAATATAATTCGTACTTTTCAATTGAATCAAAATTGTTTTTTGAAAATAAATTGGGAAGTGCAATTTCTTTATACAAATGCTTAGTAACAAGTTCTAAAGTAAGTTAGAATATTGAGACATTTTTGAGAGAAAATTTTAAATTTATTTCATTTAGTATTACTTCAGTAATTAATTTTTATTTTTAAATGCTAGTTCTACTGTTATAAAATATCATTAAAGAATTAATTTTTAAATAAAAAAAAACGACTAAGAAACTTATTTACTTTGTTCTTTTTTTATTGTTAGAAAATCAAATTAATCATTAGGTTTTAAATTATTAAAATGAATAATTTAGAAAATAATGAAATTTGTAATTATAAAAATGTGTAATTAAATTTTATTATTTGTTAGGATATTTCAAATGAAAAAGAACTTATTAAATCTGTAAAATTATTGTGTTCCGAACCAAAGTGGCTCATTGTTATGTTAGGAGGTGGTCGATTTTCTGCTGCTATATTTAAAGGTTTCTTATAAATATTTCTTATATAAATATTATTAATAAGTAACTTATCTGTTATTTTTCTCCATTTCATTTTTATCAGCTGTATTATAAAAAATATATATATATGTGTATATAGAATGTTCAGTATGTAATGAAACAGGTTAATTGTTATCAATAATAAGAACAAGAACCTGTTTCCTTACTAGCTGAACACTCTGTATATTGTTATATAATTTTGTTTTTAGGAGAAGAATCGATTGTTCATAAAACATTTCACTCATATACTGTACGTGCTAAGCAAGGAGGTTCTCAAAGTACTCAAGATCGATCTAAAGGAGGAAGTAAAAGTGCTGGTGCTAGTCTTCGTAGATATAATGAATCTTCTCAATTAAAAGTATCAAAAAAAAAAAAATTAATTTCATATAAGTTATGTGGTCTCATATTTTATTGATTATTATTATTTAGCATGTACAAGATATATTATCTTCTTGGACTACTCTTATAAAAGAATGTGATCGTTTATTTTATCGGGCAATTGGTCCTTTTAACCGAAATATTTTATTTGGTGGAACAAATCCTCTTTTAAATAAAAAAGATCCTAGGTTATGTCAAATACCTTTTGGAACTAGAAGAGCCATTTATAATGAAGTTTTAAGGGTTCGAGAACAACTTTCTACTGTTTTAGTATATGGTGAGGTTCAGTAAAATAATTTTAATAAATTTTTATAAATAATTTCAAATATTTGATTCAAGACTAATTAACGTATAAAAAAAAAATGTATTTTAATAAATAAAATAATACTTCTGTATTGAAAGCTAATAAAATAAATAAATAAATAAATAAAATATTTAAATTCAAATATATTTAAACTATTTTAGATAATAAGGAAATTCTGTATAGCTCTATAAAAAATTACTTAAACAATTTATTAATAAAAAAAAAAATTAAGGAAGCTAAACAACATAAATGTGATGAAGATAATTCAAAATCTATCTTGAAAAATGAAAATGATATGAAGTCTTTAGTTATTGGTAATACCTTACATTGATATTTAAAATACTTGACAAACCTTTTTTATTTTTAGGAGAGCAGTGTTATTTTATTAAATTTTATTCTGTGTAGTTTTTCTATCTTTGCAATAGAATATGTTAAATATATATTGATAATATTTTTCACATTTTTTTTTTTTTAGATAGCGACAAAAGTGATGAACATAATAATTCATTAGTACCATCTCTTAGTGAGGAGGATAATCAATTACCTAATTATAATCATTTTAATAGATTTAAAGATTTAAAAAAAAGACGTAAAAGAAAAAAAAAACCTAAACAACAAATATCTAATGAAAATCATGAAATAGAAGAGTTAAGAATTAAACTTTTATCATGGATTGAAGAAAAAGTAAATGTAGCAGTAGAAAATTTACCATTAGTACTGGGTACAAAATCTGAAGAAGAAATAGAAAATTATTTAAATACTCCACTAGATGATTTAAATAATACCATATTACATCTAGCTTCTTTGAATAGTTTACATAACCACATTTAGTAAGTATTTTGTTTAATTTTAATAAATTATTAGTTATCAATTATTTATTATCTTATAATTATTTGTCTTTTTAAAAAGTAAAATGTTTATTTTTCAGTAAATTCATAAAAGAAATAAAAATTAGTGCAAAAATGTTTATCTTACTTTTTCTTTTTAATCATAATCATAATTGTTGAAAATATATATATTATCTTCAATGAGAAGATATTACATTTATTATTATGTTTCTTTGTCTATAAAAATTTTCAGCTGGTACCTGACTGATTTTACTGTACTATATACAAAAATACTTAAGCTACTTTTTGAAAGTTTTCTTTATATTTTAACGTTATACAAAACTTAAAAAATATTGGATTTATTTTTTAATTATTATTTTTGTCAATTTAAAAATAACTATTAAAGTTAGGTATTTTAAAATAAAACCAATAAATTTGTTGGCAAAATAGGTTGCTGAAAATCCCCTTGGATTTTTAATTTTTTTTTTTTTTTTTTTATAAAACCTTAATAATAACAAAGTTTTAGCCAATTTTGTATTAAGTCAGATATCAATCTATACTGGGGTACACTGTTAGATTCCACTATACTGAATTCCAACTGTACTGGTTTTTTTTTTTTGTTTTTTTAGATTATCTATTGATTAAACTATTACTTATTACTTATCAAAAGGAATACTTTTATAATTAAAATTTTTTTATTTAAAGGTTTGGTTAATGGATTAAAAATGTTGAAACTCCAATTTATAAACATCTAAAATATTTTGTTTATTAAATTGTTTCTAATACCAGTATTATTGGAGTTATCTTAACTTATTAGAATTGTATGAGATGTGGCAATTAAATAAGGAAAATCTTAATAATCTTAATGTTTTTACACATTAAATATTATAATATATATACAAATATTAATGTGATTCAAATAAATTATGCACTTTACATATTTTTAAATGTGTATGAAGATCATATAAAAGTGTATTACTATATATGTCAGTTAATTTTATTCTAATTTACTGTTATAGTTTATTATTAAAAAATGGATCAAATCCAGCTTTAAAAAATAAAAATTTAAAAACACCGTATGATGTTGCAATAGACAAATCAACACGAAAAGTTTTTAGAAAATTTATGGCCGATTATCCAGAAAAGTATGATTATGAAAAAGTAATTTTTTTTAAATTTTTTATAGTTGTATATCATAGTACATTGATTATAATTTGTTTGTTTTAATTTATTAGGCTCATTTACCAGGTGCATTAACTTTAGAACTACAAGAAGAATTAAAAGAAAGGAAAAAAGCCAAACAAAAACGTGCAAAAGAAAGAAAACTGATAGAAGAATTAAAAAAAGAAGAAGAAAAAGAAAAAGAAAAATTTCTCAACCTAAGTGACCGAGAAAAAGTAAAAGAATTTATTTTGATAACATTTATAAGTATTTTATATTTAAAATTTAATTTCCAGTGTGCAATTGCTGCTGAAAAACGTTTAATTGCACTTCAAGGAAAAGTTTTTGTATCTCGATGCTTTTATTGTGGATCAAATATTGAAGAAAAAGTATCTTTTGGATACATGGATTATAAATTTTGCAGTACACTATGTGTTAGAAATCATAGGCAACAGAATATTGCAAAATAAAAATCAATTTATAATATTAAATGAACCATTTTATAATATATTGAATCAATGTTTTGATAAGTCTATGGTATACAAAATGTCAAAGTTTAAATAAAAAATTCATTTGATTTTAAAGAGAAAATTTTTTTTAACTATTATATATTTCATTTATGAGATATTATTTGATGGTTTTTAAACAGTCCTCCTCTTCTATTAAAAAAAAAAGTAAAACTCTTTTTAAAGTTAAATTACATTTATCAATTAATAAAAAAAAAAATTGTTATTTCTAAACTGCAATAAACAAAAATAACAGTATATTAGCATTATTGTTGTAAAATTCAACAACAAAATCTATTAATTAACATAAAATACTAATTTTGAATAAGTATAGTCAAATATAGAAAGATTTTTTAAGCGTTTGATATTAACTCAAGGAGGTGCAGGGAGCGGGCCACCTACGAATCTATGAAGATGACTTCTTTTTAGCATCCTCAAAAATGTAAGTCTAGTTGCACTTATGTTAAAGTATTGTTCGGTCAATTTAGATTTCAGCTGAAGTGATTTTTTGTGTTAATCGATTATCAATTATTGTATATCTTATCATAAAAGTGGCAAGACTGCTTTTTTAGTTTGTCTATTAATTTCTTTTTTTATCAACTTATTTTATATCTGTTTTAATGATTTCGTTTTATTATTATTTAAGGATTATATTATATAATATTCTAAAAATTTTGCTGTCTGGAGCTTTTGAAATTTTTGATTTATAATTTTATAAAATGGCTGGTGAAGTTATTGTTGATGCTCTTCCGTATATAGATCAAGGATATGATGAACCCGGCATTCGTGAAGCAGTAAGTTGAATTATTATAACAAAAAATTAAATACTCTAAATAACCATTAAATTTGCCTTTATTTGAAAAAAATAAAGCTTCTCGTATCATATACATTGATTTAAATTTGGGTTTAGACAGTTGTGTTTGTGTTACTCATAAATTTTTAAAAATAGTAATATAAATTGTACTAATGTGAGAAATACTAATAAACAAATATTTGTTTATTACTTATATATACATATTATTTTTATGATTAAATTACAAAATATAATTTAAATTGTTTATTTTAGGCAATGAGTATGGTTGAAGATGAAAAACGACGTTATAGACCTTCAAAAAACTATCTTGAACATTTGCCTCAACTCAACATTTCAGCATTTGAAGTAATTATAAATATCATTACATATTTATAATTTTACTAATTATATGCATATTTCCCTAAGACAAAACATTGATAACACCACTGCTCTCAAGGATTACCTCGAACCTGTCAATTTTGAAATTATATAAACAATTTTTTTAGTCTTAAGAGAGACATTTAATTGCAATTTATAATCATATATTTTGCTGGGCCATAGTGTTTTGATCATAAATTTTCTAATGAAAAAAATCTTTTTTATTTCTTCTATTTAAGTTATCAAAATAGTGATATTAAAAAATGTATTAAATACATGGCATTGCCATACAGGCAGAGATTAATATTTTTATATATCCTAGGTTTTAAATCAAAATTTTTTTTTATAAAAAAATTGATCTCTTTTATTTATATTATGTGGTATATAAAAAAAATAACTTCTGTGTTATATTTTAGACTGAAATGATGCGCTCAGAATTTGATAGACTTCAGCAGCGTTTGCCAATGGAAACAATGAGCATGAAACGTTATGAACTACCACCTCCTCCTGCAGGAAAACTTACAGATATGTCAGCATGGAATGAATGCTTAGAAAATTCAATGGCTCAACTTGAGCATCAAGCTACAAGGTATATTAAATTCTTATTATTATTTTTTTTTTAATTTTATACAAATTTAACATATCTGGTTTAAATAATTTTTAGAATAACTAATTTAGAGTTAATGACTGAATTTGGTACAGAAGCATGGAAATCGTATCTAGAAGTTCTAGTAAAATGTGTTGCAGCAGCTCAAAAACAAGTTACTAAATTAAGGTAAATATTTTTAATATGTTTGGATTAAGAGGGGACTAATGCCATAGAGCTCATCTCAAATTTTACATGCCTAGTGATGATTAATGACAATTTTTCTGGATTTTTTTTTTTCTCATCAGTTTATGAAAACAATATTTTCCATAGTGAGGCTAATCTTAAGATACCCTTATGAATCTTAATCCCTATATGTGTATTTAATATTTTCATGTTAAATTAAAAATGTTATATAAAATTTACAGAAAACAGATTCAAGAAGTTAATTTTCAACGAAAAAATGTACAAATGCAAGTAGGAGAAAAATTGAGAGATTTAGAAGCTAATTGGGTTGGATTGGTGAGCAAAAACTATGAAATAGAATTGGCATGTGCCCATCTAGAGAAACAAATTAGAGCCCATGAAATTGCCAATGCTAGTCAAATAGAAACGAGTTAAAAAAATTTAAGATCATGACATTACTCATACCATGTAATTATGGTGAATGATGTGTATAAACAATAGTAATTAAATCAATATATTTTTAATTTTTATGTTGTCTTATAATTTCATGTATAAAAGTATAAAAAAACACATATGTTTAAAATATAAATGTTTACATAAAAAAAATTGGATCTTAGTTAAATACTATACTAAAAATACAATTGCACTATAAGTTTGATTTGTTAATGTGAAGTATAAAAGCTACAGTTGTAATAAAAAGATGTATAATTTGATCAAAGTTGAGATTATTAAGAATTCAAGTCTTGTTAAATAGCCTATAAAAGCTATTGTATAATCAATAAGCTTTTAAAAAGCAATAAATAATTATCTTAATATAGTAAAAGTACATTTAAAGACTAGATCTGATATAGTTAAAATCAAATTTTCCTAATAATACAAGAAATGGATGTTAAATTTGAAAAAATATATAGTATTTCAAGTAAAACATTTTATAAATGTTCATTCAAAGATTAAATGTGTTTCACAGTAAGAATCATTTCATGTACTATAAAGTAGTTTCGCTTCTTTCTGTAATTTTATTTTGATTTCCAGAATTTACTAGAGTTTTTTCAAGTACACTTATTCTTTCTTTTAACATGTTAACCTGAAATTTTTTTTTTTAATAGAAAAACAACAATATTCATATAATTATAATTATTAATAAAAGAAGACAAAAATAAGTTTTTATAATTCTTTTGCTTAGAAAATACCTGAAGAGAATGGTTTTCAACCATTATTTCAATTTCTGATTCCAATTTTTTCAAACGTAAATGTGATTTACGTTTAGATCTCTCTAAATTACGTTCAAGTAAACTGCAAAAAATAATTTGATTATTATTGAGTAAAAACTAAATTAATGAAAAAATACCTATTTTCTGTTTTGAGTTTTTCAATTAATGAAGTATTCTGTTTTTGTCTAGCATCAGAAGTTTTTGTCATCTGTTGTAATGCTGATGTAACTTCTTTTAATTGATTCTTCAATTTAATATTTATTCCCTCTACACACTCAAAATTATCTTCTTTTAATTGCCGTTCTAACTCTCGAATTGTATTGAAATCAATTTTAGACTTTTCTTCACTATCAGATAAATGTTTTTTCACGTTTACATATTGTTTTTGTAATTCTAAGTATCGTTCTTGCAAATCAAATTTTTCTTCACGAACACTCATCAACTCTTGCACAAGTACAGCCATTTCTAAGTCGATTGGGGTTATTTGACTTCGACTTTTCAGTTTTGGTAAATCATTTTCATTAGAATGATACGATTCCAAAACAACAACAGTTGATCCAATTTTTTTCTTTTCTTCATCTAAGTGGTGTAACTGCTCAATAATAGTATCTTTCATTCTAATTTTTAAATATAATATATTTTATAAGATAAATAATTTTTTTTACTTAGATCTTAAGTATAAATTACTTAATTTCTTCTTCAGTTGCAGTTCCATCAGAAATTGATAGTAACGTTGAATAGCAATTCATGATTTCTTCTCCAATATTGACTTCTAACTTCAAAGCAATCATATTAGATTCATATTTACCCAATAACAAATAAAGTCTAGAATTTTCAACATAAAAAAAAATATACATGAATTTGACAAAATTTTAATAAATGACCAATTACTTGTCAGTTTGGGTAGCTGATTGCTCAAACATTAATTCCAATACAGCCATTTGAGAGCGAACATAATCTAACCGAGCTTGTAATTGTTCAACTTGACACATTAAAATTTCTGTGTTATTAGGCTCTAATATTACAAAATCACTGGAAATAGTTGGTTTACATTCATCTAGTTCTATCTTTTGAAGAATCTAAAGAACCAAAAAAATATATAGAGAGCGCCATTCAAGGATTGAAAAATTGTCAATTTTATACAGTGAAGAAATGTCTAGTTATAAAAATGGCCACATCCACACCTCACCACTAATCATTATTTTAAATTAAACTTAAAAATTACTAAAATACTGGAACATTATTTTTCTTAATTAGATCATTATCTAATAAATAAGGTAGTTAATTATGTATGTTATTCTTAAAAAAAATAAAATTGACAACTATTTAAAAAATTATCTTAAAAAATACTTAATAATAAATAAATCAATTAGTATATGTAACTACTAAAATCCAAAAAAAATATTCTCGAAATTTTTTATATTCATAAATATTAATTAAATAGTTTATGATAAAAGAATCCATTGTTTATATACAGAGTGATTAATTAAAAATAAGATACTAATTTTCTCGGAAACTATTAAAAATTTTAACTTTTTTTAAAGAAAAATATTGTTTGATTTAAAAAATTCTATTATAATATGTAATTAATTGTTTTTTCATCCCTTCAGAGATATGTACCTTTACATTATTTTTTTCAAATGAGAACTCTTATTTTTACCTATTTTTTTAAATTATTTAAAAATTTGGATTCAAAATTTGGTTGGGTTTCATTAATTTGGTTTTCGTACAACCGTAAGAAACAATAATCAATTTTTATGGTAGTTATGAAGAAAATTTTTCCACAATGGTCATTCAACAATGTATGATAGTTAAATTGTATAAAATATAATAGTATGTATCTATTAATAAATATCAATGACTTCTTTATACAAAACAGAAATTTGGTCTAAAAACACTTAATTTTAACACGCAAAAACAGATGAACACTTAATAGGATAAAAAAAATTATAAGAACAAACTATATATTTTTTTTTATTATATTATGAAGGTAAAAATAAGGGTTCTCATCTAAAAAAATTAATGTAAAGATTTTTTACCACTGAAGGCAAAAAAAAAAAATTACTTAACTACATATTAATGTAGAACTTTTTGAATCAAACAATATTTTTCTATAAAAAAATTAAAAATTTTAAAAGTAGTTTCCAAGAAAATGAGTGTCTTATCCTTAATGAATCATCTTGTATAGTAACTACTTATTAAAAATAATACACACTACAACTTTAGTTTTTTCTATTTCAGCAGTGTCATCCATCAATTTTTGTAATTTTACTTTCTCTGCTAGTTTTGATGTTTCTTTAAGTAAACGACTAGGAGACATTGGCCCAGGCGAGTAGCTACTATCTGCATCTTGAAACTAAAAGATTATTCTCGTTTTAAATTGCATTATAAAAAATCAATTATTCAATTAAGCATATTTTAAAAATTGTGTTTTAAAACAATTGAGCAGTAATTTCATCTAAAAAATGTAATTAAACATCCTTTTATTTATAATTTAAATAACAATATTACTTGAAAACTTTACAATAAAAGATAATGTCACTGGATACATGAGTATCTTCTACTTTTTCCTCACTTTAATCCCAACTACTTGGGATCGGCCAGGATACATGAGAATACATACTTTTAATAATAATTCTTTTTCTTCTGTAACTTCTTGTAACTTTTTTTGAGTAAGTTTTAATTCTTCATCTTTCATAGCTAGTTTAGTATATATATCCATATACTTATTGTTTTTTGTTTCATCATCATTGAAACATTGAATATCATCACCCTTTATAAAAATTGATTTTAAAATATATCTCAGAGTATTAAATTTTATAGAACATATTAAAAAAGTAATAAATTATACAAATTTAATTACTATTAAATAAATAAATAAAACTGATATAATATATTATATCAGTTTTAATAAAAGGATAACCTTCATATTATAAAGATTATTCTTTATAAATAAAATTAAGAAAAATGAATTATAATGTTATCACTGAATTAATATTTATAAAATGTTATTACATAGTGTATAACTATCACAGACAATTGATTTTTTTACATACCTCTTTAGATAAAGAAACTGATTCTTGAATTAATGAAAATGTTTCAACACTTTGTACATCCAATTCTGTAAAATATACATATATAATATATATTAAATGTGTAATAGATATATTATATATATTACACATTTAATATCACAAAAAAACTTTTATTTTTAAAAAATATCATTATGTTATTTAAAATTTTTATGTTTTATGATTTACCTGATTGACTTTCTTCAATTTCTTCAGTAATTATCTGGGATCTCTGTAATTGTAATTTACGAGCAAGTTCAGCAATAACTGAATGCAGCTCAATTATTCTTTCTTCATATTTTTGTTTAATTTCATTTTCAGTTTCAACCTAGTTACCAAGAGCATTAATACGAATTCAATCATACAGAGTAACTTGTTTAACACTAGCCACTAAATTTCTTTTAAATAATTTTTTTTTTTTTTTGGTTGATTTATCCACTTTATTTATCTGTTATGAAATTTTTTTTGTCTTAAAGGGGTGTCGTTATTATTAGATGGCAACATACATATCTAACTAAATTTTAAACTGGAAAATTATGTAATTAAGATAGTGACTTAAAATGACTTTTTGTATAAAAAGTGATGATAAAAAAGTGGCAACAAAAGATGATAATATGAAAAAAAGTGGAAAGAATATTTTAAAAAATTACTTAATGAGGAGTATCCAAGAGAGACATTAGAGGATATCTTGTGGAACAAGGGACTAGTAGATTTAATTAGTTAGAAAGAGGTATGGGAGGCTGTAGCTTCAATGGAAACGAAAAAAGCAGTAGGACCAGATTAAGTGCCAGTAGAAGTATGGAAAATATTTGGCGATGTTGGCATAAGGTGGTTGAAGAATGTTTTTAATAAAATCATATTAGAAGGGCAAATACCAAAAATATAGTGGAATAGTATTGTGGTGCCAATATTTAAAGGCAAAGGAGATATACAATAGTGTGAAAATTATAGAGACTTAAAATTTATGAGTAAAAATTTGAGAAAGTAATAGACAAAAGAATAACAGGGGAAACATCAATAACAAAGAATCAGTTTGGTTTTGCCTGTAAAGTCAATGATGGAGCCACTTTTTTGTGTAATACAACTAATAGAAAAGTATAGGGAAATGAAGAAAAGGCTGTGTACAGTATTTATAGATTTGGAAAAAGTGAATGATAGTGCACTGAGAGGTTTTTTTAAGCGGGCATTAATGAGAAAAAGAGTCTCAAAAAGGTACATTACTTAGAGGATATGTTTGATGGCACTTGTACCAGTGTAAAAAGTGATGGCGGAGGAGTAACAGAAGATTATAGAGTAAGAGTAGGAATGCATCAAGGTTCTGCTTTAAGCCCTTACTTATTTTCTGTAGTGATGGATGAAATTACTAAAAAAATACAAGGAGAGATACCGTGGTGCATGTCGTTTGCTGACAATATAGTGTTAATAGAAGAAACCATGGAGGAAATTAATCAAAGGCTAGAGATGTAGAGATCAGATCTTGGAGAAAAGGGTTTAAGAATAAGTAGGGGTAAGGCAAAGTGTATAGAGTATGAGTTTGACAAAGAAAAACACAAGGTAGGTGAAATAAAGAGATTAATGACAATAAGCAAGGACGTGATAAGAGGTGGAGAATTTTAAGTATTTAGGATCAGTTGTGCAGAAGAACATTGGTTTTGACAAGGATGTATGATACAGGATTATGTGAGGGTAGGCAAAGTGGAGAGTGTTATGCAATAAGAGAATTTCAATGAGACTGAAAGGTTAGTTTTATAAGACTAGCTATGATGTATGGTTCACACATTTATTTTCTATTTTATAAGTAAAATATGTATGATTCCATTTAAATAAAATTGATACCCCTATAAAACATAAGGAATGAACTTTAAATATATTTTATTATAGGTAAATGAAGATAAATATTTAAAAAAATAATTCATAAATATAAATGGGTTACTTTAATTAAATTTATGGATTCTTCAAGAGCTTCATTTTTCTCAGTTGCTAATGTTAATTGTTTATTAAGTTCAGTGATTTCAGTTTTTAATGACTTTAAGGCTGCTAAATGTAACTTAAATGTATAAAAAATCATATAAATATTTTAGTAATTTCAAACAAATCGAACATTTAAATTGCAAAAAAATATATACTTTATTAGCAAGATGAAGTAAACTGCCAGTATTTGCGGAACTTCCACTTTGTAATAAATGTTGCATTCGTATTGAATTAGGTTCAGGGCTTAGATCTCTAGCTCCACTATCGAATTCCCAACTTTCATGTTTACCTCCAGATAATGCACCTTAAAATACAAAAATGTAAGAAGAATATAAAGAAATCAAAAAATATTTTTTTTATAATATTTACCTAAGCTATTATCACTACTAGTTGGTAAATATTCTGGAAGAGGATCATGGTTGTGAACACGTAAAGCATTTATTTCAGTTCTTAACTCTAAACGTCGCCTAACAAACTCATCAAATGATATTCTTCCAGTTTTATCTGCACCTAGTTCTTTCATCAGTTTATCAACACTGTCTTCAAGATTTAACTGACGACATATAGTCAACAAATCTCGACTAAAATTCAGATTTAATCATTTAAATTAGTGGTTATAAATTGTAATTTATTATTGCAATAAAATCCTACAATAATTTTTAAATGACAAAATTATCTTTAAAACAATCAATAGTTTAATGGAAAATTTTAACAGTTTAACAGCTACCAATCATTTTTATATCAAAACAATAGAATGTCTGTAAATTTTAACTATATGGTAAAAATATTTTAAGTAAAGAATAAAATGATGAGATTGTACCTATCTATGAAACCATCACCATCACCGTCACAAGCTTGAAATAATTTTCTTGCACGTTCTTCTTCACATAAAGAACTTGTTTCCGCACTTTCGCAGACTGATTGTTGTTCGTCCATCACTCATTTCTATTTTAGCATTATATATTTAAAGACAAAATTTAATTTTAAGTTAAGAAAATAGAGGAAATGTTTATATATAAGTAAAAAAAAACTATTAATGTTTACATTAGTTTTAACATCCTTATCAGTACAAAATACATGATAACAGTGTCAACAAATAATAAAAATAATACATTTAATAATAATGAGGCTTATCATCATAGCTGATAATTTGTTCCATTATATTTTTGACAAAAATCACTGAACTCTCACTCTTCTAAAAATGTTGAATTTAAAAAAATTAATTTTTCGAAAAAACAATTTGAAAAATAATAAATACCTAGATTACAATTTATCATAAGTAATGATATCTACTGTCGAGTGGCTAAATACTATGTATTATTATATTCAGTGGTGTTTTGGCTGTATATGCGGATTTACGGTGTTTAAAAACAATTTTTTTATTAACTTATAATATAAATAAAAAAATTATTTATGCTCTATTTTATAGAAAATTACTCACAAACAGTATATACCTTGAAATAGAAATAGAGTGTTTTGAGAAAACACCCCTGATTATATTAAATATTACAATAGTGCAGGGATATACTACATACTTCGAAACATTCTGATACATATTATTAAAGATCATCAATTTTTGAGGTATGGCGTTGTTGAAAGGAATGAATCTAGAAAAACTAGAACCATAAATGTAAAGAATAAGTCATTTTCTATATTAGTGGTTTAGTATTATTGATATTAGAATTCAGCAATTTTAGTTTTTAGTTAGTTAGATGTGTACCTAAGAAACTATTCATGTTCCTTTGTTGTGTTTATGTTTTCATCTTGCACGATTAGTCATGTAATGAAAGGATATTCTCGAGAGAATGCGTACGACAACGGGAATATTCTTGAGAATTTCTGTAGAAAATGACAGGAAAACAATCCTGGCGGATCATAGGCGATTATCCCCTGCTTAGACTATAATCGTCTACTAAAAAGACTCATCACAGTGGAGTTGGGACAAGTATAGATGATATCTAACAGTGATTAAAATCACTATCATTAAAAACGGTTCGATGAAAATTTGTAGATACTACTTAATTTTTAGAAGGAATTGTTGGAATATTCCAAAAGCATCATTAATTCCTGTTTTCTTGAATATATTCTGATTACGAGTCTTATGGTTTATAAGAATAATACAGAAATAAATAAATATTATAGAAATTAAATTTAGTATCAAATTGATACTCAATATTTTGTAATGTATTTTTCACAGAGAAATTAATAAGTAGTCGTATATTTAGTTACCATTATGGAAATCGTGTATCAAAATTGTAAGTATCATCAAGATAAAGCATTATCTTATCTGTCGTATAATAATAAAATGAAATTTTATTCATTTTTATATGGTATAAATGGATTTTTAAGAAATATAGCTGCAAAATTCCTACATGAAAATATTTAAAACTAACTCTTTTTATAAAAAAAAAAAAATAAATCATATATAATTTTGTTTTAAGAGGGATTAAAAAGAATAATATATTTACTCCCCATTAATAATATGATAAAAATAAAATATAAATTAAAAACGCTGCAATATCTGTAAGCCATATAGAATATCGTCACAACGATTGTCAATTTAATCACAAATATTGATTAATATAAATTTAGCGTACAATCATATAAACCCTAGTGATAACTGCGACCATACTGGAAATATAAGCAATAAAAGTATAATAAACAAGAATCCTTATTTCTTTTTGTCCGTGAAGTATTAATTTTTTTTGTTTTATCAATGCCCGAGTTGTGATCGTCGTTACTGGCTATTAAGTTTTACCAGTTTTATGACTGTTAATTTGCTATATTAAATAAAAATAAATATTGCCAAGAGCAAAGAAGCTCATGAAAAAAAAAACGGTAGTACAGTGGGATCGCGGGACAGTATGGACGTGGCATAGTTGGTACAAGTATAGATAATATCTGACAGTGATTAAAATCACTATCATAAGAAACGCTTCGATGCAAATCTGTAGATAGAATTTAATTTTAAGAAATTGGTAGATTATTTCAAAAGCAACAATAACTCTTATTCCCTTAATTTTATCCCGATTATTTATTTGATTTATAATTTTAATATATGAATATTGATGCAATACTTTTTATAGTGACTATGGAATGATCGAGAATCTTCGCGACGGATAGGCAACATAAAATGCATATAGCGCGAATATTCTCGATCGCTCCGTATGAGAATTCTCTAGAACTTAACACAATATAAAACGGCGTGACGTAACAATAACGTCAATCAGTTAGTTAGCCAGCCGTCAGTTAATCGGTTAAGTAATTAAGTACACGTAGTGCATTAATATAATTTTTATATAAATTTTCTTAATGTTTAAACAATAAACCGTCTACATTTTTTCTGTTATATAAATTAGTGTTTTTATTTATTTTAAATCAATAAGTGAAGCACTAAACTTTTCAATAAAAAAAGTTTGTTATTTATAAGTTAAAAGTTGTATACACTGAACTACAAGAAATTTTCGTCAGAAACAAAAATATACTTTTCTAAATCAATTTTTTGCGATGTTTTCAAATGTGCAATTAGACTTTTTCTATCACTTCTAAGTTTTAATATTAATAATAATATTAAAAAATAAGTATTTACATATAAAAAATTATTAAGAACAAAAAAAAATTGTTTTAAATTAATACTGATTTTGATTATTAATATATTCAAAATAAGGAAAATGACATATTTAACCTATTTTTTTAATCCTGTAAAGTTGATTTTTGTGAAAGTTTATAATAAAAAAAATTAATTTATTACCATAACTTTTAGCTAAATTTTAAGTTTGAAATTGACATCATTAAATAGGAAATTTTATGAAAATTAAAANAAGTTTGAAATTGACATCATTAAATAGGAAATTTTATGAAAATTAAAAAAATTATGTCGTTAAGATTAATATGCAGCCAGGAATTTTATAATATTTTTATAAATAGTTATTATATTTCTATAATATTTATAAATACCAATAGTAGTTATTTTATAGAAATTTCTTATTAAAATTTAATAAAAATCAAATGAGTTGAAAATTTATTATAACTTAAAAAGAATTAAGATAAAAATGCATAAAATTCCTTTGCCATACACGTGTTGGAACCTTGTACCCCAAGCGCGTAAGATACAAGTATTACCAACTCGGCAACCGTACGTCGCTTCTGTCGATTAAAAAAAATGGTAATTTAAGCTACTTCAAATTTTAAAGCTATTTTTCTCGACTTAAAAATAGCAAAAAAATTTAAATAAGTTTAACTTTCTATGCTATATCAATTTGATTTATATAATATTTATGAAAATCTGTGTACTCCCCTTGTCAGGTATTTTAAATTAAAAAAATAAAAACGGTAGCACAGTGGGGTCGAGGCACAGTGTGGACGAGGCATAGATGGGACAAGTATAGATGATATCTGAC